AGATTGGTTTCCTCAGGGTAGAGAGAGCAGGCAGCAGGACAGCATTAGGGAGGAAAGGAGGAACGGAGGTCAGAACTACACGGGCACCGAGGTCCTCCAGCGGCTCCAGGGGGACGAACACGCCCCCCACCGCCAGGCCCTTCTCCACCGCCTCCTGGGCGGCAGCCTCCCAGGCAAGGAAGAAGATGACCTTGCCATACATTTTGGAGGCCGCCACAATGGCCGTGGGCACCACCACCCTCGCCAATGCCCTCACGTAGGTCTCCACGTGGGGCGAGGCGGGCACCAGGAGGCAACGGACGCCGTGCTTCCTGGTCAAGGTGGGGAAGGGGTCCCGGCCGCTAGGGATGGTAACAGCGGTGGTGGCTGGGAGAGATGGCGTAGTAGTTGGCGGGGGAGGCCGCCGCCAGCTGGGTGTACGCTCTGGGGGCTGGAGGGGGGGCGCTCGCGGCGCTGGTGGAGGGAACAGCGGGGAGGGACGCTGCGGCCGGTGGTGGGGCTGTGGCAGTGGGGGCAGCCCCTGCCATGGAGGCCCGAGTCTTTTTAGCGGGGCTCTTTCCCTTCTTTTTGCCCCGGCCCTTCCCGCCGGCTGGGGTGGGTCCTCCAGAATCAGAGGGGGCGAGGGATGTGGCAGCCGCGGAGATCACCCCATTGCCTGCTGCTGCCGGCTCCCAGAGGGGGCGATAGCAGGTGGTTCAGCAACGACGGTTGAAGTAGAGGCTGGGGGGGGCATCGGGAGGGCAGGCAGGGGAGGGGAGCAGGGTCTGCCCCAGGGATCCCACCCGCCATGTCTCCTGCCATGATGAGCTGTGAGGGAGGGGAAGGAGGGGAAAAACACCGGAGAAAGGGGGGGAAAGGGGAAGCAGGTCAACCACTCCTCCCCGCTAGGCTGCGGGCAGGGGAGGAGGGTGCTGAAATGGGGGGGCAGATAGGGTGTCTATCAAGGACTTGTGGGGGGGTCAGTCACCGACAGAAGATGGAAGTCCAGCTCCTCTAGCTGCACTAGGGGAGGGAAGGTTACAATAACATCAAGGGGGTGCAGTGATCAACCAAAAGGGGGGGGGGGAGAGAGGGCCAATCAGGGCAAGGGGGCCGCAAAGGAAGGGGAGCAAACAGGCTGGGGATGGGGCAGGGGAACCAAGGGGCTAGGTGTAGGGCTGGGGCGGGACAAACAAACCAAACCGCAGAGGGGAAAGGGCGGGGCAGGCACACAAACTGGGCTCACAAGGGGCTTAGGCAAAGAAGCTGGGGGGGCAAAGGGCTGTAATCGGAGGGGGGGCAGTCCAAAATAAGGGGGGGGCACGTGCACCCAGGCGCACTTGTGAAAAAGTCACTGTGTGGTTGGCTGCTGCTGCAGGCCCAAATGGTGGAAACGGGCGCAGCCGGCGAGGCAGGCAGCTGAGTCCCAGAGGCAGGAGCTCGAGGCAGATGGTGAGTGGCCGGGGGGGGGGGGGAGCAACGGTGGGAGAGGGGGGGGACACAGATGGACCGGGGGCAGGCTCCACACCACACTCCCCTATGTCCCCACACACACAGTCAGGACCCCCACCACAAAAGCGCAGTTCGAAAATCACTCAGTCCTCAGTGGCCCCCTCCACAGTGGTCTCCAGAGTCTCTGTGCGCTCCCCCGGCAGCCGATGGGCCTCTCCGTCCTCTTCCTGCTCCAGGCTCCAGCAGCTCCCAGGACAAACGCAGCAGCAGCAGCTCCAGCAGCCCTGGCGGCCAGGCAGGAAGGATCCCACACAGGTGGCAGGAGTGGGGTCCTGGCTTCTCCCTCCAGAGGTGGGTGGTGGGTGGGGAGCAGGCCAGCAAGGCCCCCCCTCACTCAACAGCAGTGGCAGCAGCAATCCAGGAAAGGAGAGAGCTCCAGCCAGCCGGGCAGCCCAAGCTGACTGACCTCTCCCTCCTGCAGCGGGATCTTATTGCAAACCCAGGAGGCGGGTGGGCACAAGCCCACCCACTTCTAAAGGCCCCTCCCCCAGCCTAGCGGGAGGGACCACTGGACCCAGGGACCAACTGATTGCGGGGGACAACTAATGAAAAACAGGGATCGGAGTGAAGGTCAGAGGTTCAAAACAAGGGTACCAGATGAGGATACCGAGCAGAGAGCCCCGGACAGCGCCCACTGCTCTTCAAAGCTGTCAAGGGAGCCAGCGGACGCTGCCCAGTGGAACTCTGCCCGGATGCATGAGACGAGGGAGGAACGAAAATAGGCCCCGCAGTCGCAGAGCACCCCCTCATCCAGCATCCTCCTCCTGGTGTTATAGATGGAGACTTTGGCCAGAGCCAGGAGGAGGTTGATGAGGAGGTCTCGCAACTTCGTGGGGCCACGGATAGGGTGTGTGAAAAGGAATAAGTGTGGGGAAAAGTGCAGCCAGAACCTCAACAAGAGGTTCTGGAGGAGCTGGAATAGGGGCTGCAACCTGGCACATTCAAGATAGGCGTGCGCCAGGTTCTCCCTCATGCCGCAAAAGGGGCAGGCCTCAGGTATAGGGGTGAACCGCGCCAGGTGCATGCCCGTGCTCACGGCGCCATGAAGGAGCCACCAACTGATGTCCCTGGTGGGCCGTGGGACCAAGGTGGAATAAAGGCTGGCCCACCGGGGCTCCTCACCTCTTTAGGTGGAAGATAGTCCCGCCATTTGGTGTCGGGGCAGGACACGAGGGTGTGGAGCACAAGCGTGTACAGATGGTTTCTAGGCGCAGTTTGAAACCGGATCGGCTGCCGGGTATGCAGCTGGCTTGGAGTGTGGGAGTGGGGAGGCCGGGGGGGCTTGTGGAACAGGGGCCGAAGAAAAATATCTGGAGGGCCAGGGGTAAGGGGTGGGCGCGGAGCACCCTCTCACAGAGCTCACCACAGGAAAATGAGAAAATCAGATGACAATGCAGCTTTCACCTCCTGGAGTATGCGCCTAGGGGTTGGAAGGGTGGAAAGCCCCATGTGTCGACCGAGCACGTGGGGTGTCACCCAGTCCCTCCCTCATAGTCCAGAAGGTCTCCGACTCTGGTGGTTTCTGCCAGGACCAACCTCCGACACACCGAGGGAGACTCCACCACCTGCAAACGGAGATCGAGGTTGTGTAGCAGGGGCTCTGAGAGGAGGTCCACCCCCTCCGTGGCCACAAAGGACCTGGTCACCGAAAAAAGCTTCCAGGTCTGGAGAAGGTCCTGGTAGAAGACTGGCAGCTCAGAGAGGTCTTGCAGAAGACCTTTCGGATGGAGAAAAAAGAGCTGCCGGTCATATCAGAGCCCTCAGAGGTGGCGGAGGAAGGCGTGCGCCAACGTGCTCCACGCCGGACTACCTGCACCGTAAAGGAGCCTCTGCAGGGCCTGGTGGCGGAAGACATGGACCAGGCTGCGCAAGCAAACCAGGCCCTGTCCTCCTTCCTCCAGGGGAAGACTCAGGACCCCTGCAGAGACCCAGTGCAGCCCCGGCCAGAAAAACTCCAGAGCCATCCTCTGGAGCCTGGCCAGGATCCTCGGGGCTGGGCTCAGGGTGTTGAGCCGGTGCCAGACCATGGACAGGACTAGCTGGTTCAGCACCAGTGCCCTCCCTTACAAGGAGAGACACCGGAACAGTCCTGTCCCTCTCCGCAGCCGCTCACCCACCCTGGCCTCCAGATCCTGCCAGTTCTCCAGTGGAGAAGGATGCGTGGTGGATAGATAAGCGGACCAAGATAGAGCACACCAAGATAGAGCAGCGGACCTGCACTCCACCTAATGGTTTGAAGCACGGGTGGGAGGGAGCTCACCTGCCACCCATCCCCAACCACCAGGCCAGAGCTCTTGACCCAGTTGACCTGGGCGGAGGAGGCCACTGAGTAAACGGTCTGGCAGGCCTCCACCCTCACCAGGTCATCCGGGTCCTGGACCACGAGGAGCACATCGTCGGCATATGCCAACAGGACCAGCCGCAGCTCCAGCTCCCGAAGCATCAACCTCATCAACCTCCGGCAGAGGAGATGGAGGAAGGGCTTGATCACCAGAACATACAGCTGGCCCGAGAGGAGGCACCCCTGCCGTACTCCCCACCCGAAGCTGACCGGCTCGGTCAGGGTCCAGTTGAGCACCTGGAGAAAGCCCATGAACTGGGGCCCAAAGCTGAAAGCCCGCAGGGTGCCTAGGAGATACCCGTGGTCCACCACCCGGACAATGTTTCGACGTTTACCTATGTCCGGGCGGAGGCCCATTGGTCGTGCCACTCCCAGTTGGACTGCATCTATTTGTCACACTTCCACTTTTCACGGGCCCACTCCTCCAACATCCAGCTGGCCCCTTTTTCAGATCACTGTCTGGCCACTGTGATGGCCTCTCTCTGTGCGGAGAGGCCAGGGCTGGCCTATTTGCATTTTAACAGCAGCTTGCTGGAGGATGTGGGCTTTGTGGCGTCCTTCCGGGAGTTCTGGCTGGCCCAGCGGGGGCAGCAGCGTGCCTTTCCCTCGGCGTGGCGGTGGTGGGATCTGGGGAAGGTGCGTGCCCGGCTCTTCTGCCATGACTACACCCAGGGCACCAGCCAACGGAGGGATGCAGCGATAGTGCAGTTGGAATGGGAGGTCTTAGAGCTGGAGAGGCATCTGGCCACCAGCCCTAAGGATCCATCCCTTTGCAGAGCATGCTGGGAGAAGCTGGAGGAGCTCCGGGCCCTCGACGACCGTTGGGCCCAGGGTGCTTTTGTTTAATCCCGCATCCGCCTCCTTTGGGAGATGGATCATGGCTCCTGCTTCTTCTACACCCTGGAGAAAAAGAGGGGGGCCAAGAAGCACATCACCTGCCTTCTGGCGGAGGACGGCACCCTCCTCACGGATCCAGTGGAGATGTGCGAGAGGGCCCTTCTACGCACACCTTTTCTCCCCGGATCTGACTGATCCTACTGTTCACAGAGTGCTCTGGGATGGACTCCCGACGGTCAGCGTGGGCGACCGGGACTGGCTAGAGCTGCCTCTCTCTCTGGCCGAGTTCTTGGAAGCCCTCCGCCGCATGCCCACCAATAAATCTCCGGGCATGGACGGGCTGACTGTGGATTTCTACCACATGTTCTGGGGCGTCCTGGCCCAGACCTAGTCACTGTCTGGCCCGAGTCTTTGCAAAGCGGGGTCCTCCCTCTCTCATGAAGGTGAGCCGTGCTTGCCTTATTGCCGAAGAAGGGGGACCTCCGCGACTTACGAAATTGGCGTCCCGTCTTGCTCCTCAGCATGGACTACAAAATTGTAGCAAAGGCCATCTCGCTGTGGCTGGGGTCCATGCTGGAGGACGTGATCCACCCAGACCAGAGCTACACCATCCTGGGCCGTACCATCTTTGATAACCTGTATCTGGTCTGGGATCTCTTGGAGCCTGGGAGTAGGGATGGTCTGTCGTTCTCCCTCCTGTCTCTGGATCAGGAGAAGGCATTAGACAGGGTGGACCACGGGTATCTCCTGGGCACTCTGTGAGCATTAGGCTTCGGATCCCAGTTTGTGGGTTTTCTCCAGGTGCTGTACGCTTCCGCAGAGTGTCTTGTCAGGCTCAACTGAACCCTGACCGAGCCGGTCAGGTTCGGGCAGGGAGTACGGCAGGGGTGTCCCCTCTTGGGCCAGCTGTACGCTCTGGTGATTGAGCCCTTCCTCTGTCTCCTCCGCAGGAGGTTGACGGGGTTGGTGCTTCGAGAGCCGAAGCTGCGGCTGGTCCTCTCGGCATACGCCAACGATGTGCTCCTCGTGGTCCAGGACTCCGACTTGGCGTGGCTGGAGGCTTGCCAGACCGTGTACTCGACGGCCTCCTCCTCCTGGGTCAACAGGGTCAAGAGCTCTGGCCTGGTGGTCGGGGACGGGTGGCAGGTGAGCTCCCTCCCACCCGCACTTCAGGCCATCCGGTGGACGCGGGTCCACTGCTCTATCTCAGCATTTACCTTTCTGCCACGCATCCATCTCCACCAGAGAACTGGCACAGTTTACAGGGCAGGGTGACGGAGCAGCTCTGGAAATGGACAGGACTACTCCGGGGCCTCTCCCTTCGAGGGAGGGCACTGGTACTCAATCAACTAGTCCTGTCCATGCTCTGGTACCAGCTCAACACCCTGGTCCCGGCCCCGGGTTTCCTGGCCAACCTCCGGACATCGATTCTGGAGTTCTTTTGGTCAGGACTGCACTGGGTCCCTGCAGGGGTTCTCCATCTAACCCTGGAGGGAGGGAGGGCAGGGCCTGAAGTGTCTGCACACTCAAGTCCATGTCTTCCACCTCCAGGCCCTGCAGAGGCTCCTTTATGGTGCAGGTAGTCCGGCGTGGAAAGTACTGGCGCATGCCTTCCTGCGCCGCTTCTGAGGGCTCCAATACGACCGGCGGCTCCTTTATCTCGATCTGAGAGGTCTTCCACAAGACCTCTCCAGGCTGCCGGTCTTCTACCAGGACCTCCTCCAGACCTGGAAACTGTTATCGGCAACCAGGTCCATGGCGGTCACTGAGGGGGAAGATCTCCTCACGGAGCCCCTGCTACACAACCCCCAGCTCCATGTGCAGGTGGCGGAGTCCCCCTCGGTGCACCAGAGGTTGGTCCTGGCAGAAGTCACCAGAGTCGGAGACCTCCTGGATTATGACCGGGGAGACTGGCTGGATCCCCTGACGCTCACTCAGCGTATGGCGCTCTCCAGGCCTTGTACTCCCCAGTGCGTACTTCAGGAGGTGAGGGCCGCTTTGCCGCCTGCTGCTTGGGCTTACCTTGACCGGGTCCTGCACGAGGGCACGCCCCGCCCACCCTCCACTCCAGGCCCTCTGGACCTATTCATCGGGCCCCAGCCCCATGGACCCAACCGGTCCTCCCGCCCCTTCTCCGTGAGCCGGCTGCATGACTTGCAGCCAGTTCATTTCCAGACCACGCCAAGGAAACACGTATACACGCTCGTGCTCCACACCCTTTACTTCCTCACCCTTGCGTCCAGCTCTGACACAAAGTGGCGGGACCTCCTGCCACCTCTAGAGGGTGAGGAGCCCTGGTAGGCCAGCTTATACCCCACCCTGGTCCTGAGGCCCGCTGGGGATATCGGCTGGTGGCTCCTTCATGGGGCCATTAGCACGGGCATGTATTTGGCGCGGTTTACCCCTATCCCTGACACCTGCCCCTTCTGCGGCGTGAGGGAGACTGGCGCATGTTTACTTGGAGTGTGCCAAGTTGCAGCCCCTATTCCGGCCCCTCACAAATATCCTGTTACGTTTCTGGATGCACTTTTCCCCTCATCACCTTCTCTATGCACTCCCTATCCATGGCCCCACAAAGTCACGGGACCTCCTGGTCAACCTCCTCCTGGCCCTGGCTAAAACGGCCATCTATAAAACCAGGGAGAGGAGGTTGGCCGATGGAGACTCCTGTGACTGTGGGGCCTGTTTCCGATCCTCTATCCATTCATGTATCTGGGCAGAGTTCCTCTGGGCAGCATCCACTGGCTCCCTTGATGCCTTTGAAGAGCAGTGAGCGCTGTCTGGGGTTCTCTGCTCGGTGTCCCCGTCTGCTTCTTTTGACCCTTTGACTGAACTCCTGTCCCTGTTTCACTAGTTGTCCCATGGAATCATTTGGTTTCCAGGTCCTGTAGATCCTCCCCTTAGGCTGTATGTGTGTGTGGGGGGGCGGTCCTTACGCAGTGGGCGGGCTCCCGCCCACCCACTTCCCGAAACCCAGTAGGTACACCCACCCACTTGAAACGCAACTGAGATTGACCAAGCTCTTCTAACACAGGCCACCAAAGGGGAACAACATTCAGTTCGTATCAACTGGGACTTAATTTGACCCAGCCACCTAGAGATAAATGGCTCCTTACCTATTACCAACTCCCTGAGTGAACCACTCCCCCTGGGGACTTTATTTTAAAGGAAGCAGCACAAAAGAAAAAGAAAATTAATATTGCTGCCATCCAGAGTTGAATGAATGATGGAACCCCGGCTAGGCTGGCTTGACTATTTGGTTCTCTGTGCATTGTGCTGCCATGAGGAGGTGGCTTTGAGTCCTGTACTGCCCAGGTTTACTTGTGCTGGGAGCCTTTCAGAGGTTCTGTTGCTCCTGAGTGATGTCTTCCTAGCCAGCAGTTGGAGCAGAACTGGCCTACTCAATGTGAGCTCTTTGGCTGGAGAAAGTGTTGCTAACCAGGCACAAAAGGTGTGGGGAGTAAAAGATTGGGAGAGAAAATGGACTGGCCTTCCCCCTTCAAAATAAATCTCAGCCTTTACAACTTAAACCATAACTGGTGCTTTAGGCCTCATGCCTGGTCCCACTGAAATCAATGGGCTTTTTGGCATTGACTCCAGTGGGAGCCAGACCAGACCCTAATTCAGTTTGCTGGAAGCTAAAAGCCCAGAGTGAAGAATGTATTTTTGGTTGTAGAGGTGATGGTGCCCCATAAAGGACAGTGACTGTTCCTGAATTCCCTTTACCTCTTGCCCTCAGTTTATTTTTACAGCTTCAGAATAACACAGAGTGGTGAAGGATGCTTTTGTGAAGGTCCAAGCCCAACCTGGATCTTAAATTTTGTTGTTTCACAGTAAAATGCAAGTGTCCCCATTATTTTTACTAGCCAAATTAAGCTATTCTTCCCAATTAAGTTGTGAGATGCACATGGGGATCATAGAAATGTAGGGCTGGAAGGGACTTTCAAAGGTCATCATCCATTCCCTTGCACTGAGATAGGACCAAGTAAACCCAGACCATCCCTGGCGACAGGTGTTTGTCTAACTTGTTCTTTAAAACCTCTAATAACGGGGATTTCATAACCTTCCTTCATAATCTGTTCCAGTGCTCAAGTATCCTAGAGTTAGAACGGTTTTCCTAATATCTAACTTGAATCTTCCTTGCTGCAAACCAAGCCAATTACTTCTTGCCCTACACTTGGTGGATATGGAAAACAATTGAACACTGTCCTCTTTGTAACAGTCTTTTATATATTTGAAGACTGTTTTAAGTTTCCCTGTCAACCTTCTCTCCTTTAGACTAAGTGTGCCCAGTTCTTTCAACCTGAGAACAGTAGGCAGCATCTGGGGAAAGGAATCAAGGGAATATGGAGATGCAATGGTGGAATGTTATTATATGTGTAAATTGGCTTGAATAAATAATCCGGTTTAGTCCTCTAACAGCTTGGTTACTTCAATGATAACATACTGATAGTTTATAAGCAATAATGAAAAGATCAAGGGTAGTGGAGGTGGAATTTGATGCCTGGAGGCGATTCTTTGAGGAATAAGTGGTGGAGGTATGCTAATTAACAAGGCTTTCTCCTCCCGAGTGCTGGGGTCTAGCAGCTGAGGATGGGGCAAACTGATGCAGGCAAAATAAGGAAAAGATTTTAAATAGCTTCTGGGTATTAGGTCTTTCCACACACCCCAGGAGTTATGAACCTCCCCAGGCAATGAAACTGTCTTCTATTTTGCAGGAGAATCCACTAAGCTGTAGCGCTGGCCTCCAGAATGACAATGGAAAGCTGTAGGGCAGGTGAGAAAGAACAACAAACCAAGAAACTGTGAACTCGACCTGTGATCTTCATCAGAAATGAGCCATTCTTGTCTTCTTGTAGTTTGTGTTTAATATGTGATGTGTCCTCTGTCAGGGAACTATATCTTGTCAGGTCAAATTAAAATCTCTGATCTGAACACCCAGAACTTGAGGAATGTCTAGATCCACATCTGACTGTTGCTGTTCAGATCTCTATTTCTTTTTACGAATTTATATTACAGCAGTGCTTAGAGGTCCCAACTGCGAGCTGTGCCCCATTGTACGGGGCATCATATATAGACATATTAAGAGACACTTCCTGCCCTGAAGTGTTCACAATGTAACTTGAATTCATGTTAATTTTTTTTTTCTCCAGTGAAACCCTGCAAGAAATCTGCCATCCCAGGGGTGACCATCAAGCAGTTTGTTGAAGTTATTCCAAAAGGATGTAGCACGCCTGACTTTGAGCGAAAACCCATCACCCTAACATTACAGGAAGGTGAGACTCTCTTAAGAAACAGTTAATCTCACAGAGCCAGATTCTTGATTTCAGCCCTTGCCTGCATGAGAAAACTATCGATTTAATTGTCAGTTTTGAAACAGTTAATTCAGTACAATTTTCTTGTGTAGCTAAAGCCTCAGTCACATTGGTATAAGTCTGGAGTAACTCCCTTGATGGCAGTGGAGTTATTATTGCTTTACACCATGTAAGTGAGATCAGAATTTGGCTCATAAGGTATAAACAGAGTCATTTGGACTCTACAGCACGTTGATCTACTTCCACGTGATCAGAGTAAAATGTTTTACAGTAGAAACTTCAGCAACTTGAGCTGATTTATTTTCACTTTCCGCTGAAGCATTTAAAAAGCTCAGTGTTGCGATTAAGCCCCCATTAAAGTGAGGGGTGGCAGGAGGGACGGATACCTCCATTTGTGTGATGCTGGCCCCACTACATCAAGTAGTGTGACTGAGGTTGCAGCAGGGCCGGATTTCCAGTTAGGCACAGTAGGCACATGCCTAGGGTCGCCGATGCTCTAGGGGTTCCTAAAAGTTAAAAATGGGTTAAAAGTTAAAGTTAATCCATACAGCTCTCCTGCTGGCAGCTGGGCTCCTGGCGTGGGTTGGTGGCCACCCAGCGTGTAGGGCTGGAGTCGGGTCAGCATCCGAATCAGCCTGCCTGGGGAATGCTGTGAGCCACAGCTGGGTGGGGCAGCTGCTGAAGGTGCTGGGAGCATCCCAGCCCCTTCCCAGTCTTGACCGCCATGCTGCCTCTGCCCCATGCCAAGGAGAGAGTGGGAGGGGCGTGGCCGGCGCTGGGCTGCAGGAGGGATGGAAGACACCCGGGGACCGCTCACCATGGGGAAAGGTGCAGTCCTCCCTTACACCTCACCTGGGGTGGGTGGGCTGCACCACGGCTCGGGCTGGGAGCGCTGTGCATGTAGGGTTGCCAGATGTCTGTTTTTTGACCGGAATGCCCAGTTGAAAAGGGACCCTGGTGGCTCCAGTCGGCACTGCCAACTGGGCCGTTAAAAGTCCAGTTGGTGGTGCAGCTAGGGCCCAGGCCTGAGGGAAGTGGCTGCCAGGACCCTGCGGCCCTAGGCGTATGGGCAGCCAGGGAGGCTCTGCATGCTGCCCCTGCCCAAACTGTTGGCTAAACAGCTCCCATTGGCCAGGAACCGAGATCAATGGGAGCTGTGGGGGTCACCCATGCGCCTAAGGCCGTAAGGACCTGGTGGCCAGTTCCTGGGAGCCGCGGTAAACACCGCTGGAACCCCGCTTCCTGCACCCCAACCCTCTGCCCCAGCCTGGAGTCCCCTTCTGCATCCAAACTCCCTCCTGGAGCCGGCACCCTGCCCCCCCCCCAACACCCTGCCCCAGCCCTGAGCTCTCCCTGCACCCCAAACCCCTGATCCCTGGGCCCACTCCAGAGCCCACCCACCCCAGCCGGAGCCCTAATCCCCACCTCATCCCAACCCCCTGCCCCAGCCTGGAGTCCCCTCTTGCACCAAACTCCCTCCCGGAGCAACCCCCCTCACACTCCAAATCCCTGCTCCAGCCCTAATCCCCCTCCTGCACCCCAAACCTCTCATCCCCAGCCCCACCCTAGAGCCCACACCCCCAGCCAGAGCCCTCACCCCTTCCCACACTCTGAACCCCTTGGCCTCAGCCCGGAGCCCGCTCCTGCACTGCAAACCCCTCATCCCCACCCCACAGTCCAAACCCCTAGCCGGAGCCCTCACCCCCCTGCACCCCAACTTCTTGCCCCAGACCGGACCCCCCCTCTTGCACCCTAAACCCCTCATCCCTGGCCCCAGCCCAGAGGCCTCACCCCTTCCCGCACTCCTAACCACTCAGCCCCAGCCCAGAGCCCCCTCCTGCACCCCAAATCCCTCAGCCCAACCCAGAGCCCACACCCCCAGCTGGAGCCCTTTCCCCCCACCCCCTGCCCCAGCCCAGAGCCCTCTCCTGTGCCCTGAACCCCTGATTTGGGGGTTTTAAAGACCTGGCTTCACAAAGCCCTGGCTGGGATGATTTAGTTGGTGTTGGCCCTGCTTTGAGCAGGGGATTGGACTAGATGACCTCCTGAGGTCTCTTCCAACCCTGATATTCTGATTTCTGGCCCCACCCCAGAGCCCATACCCCTAGCTTGAGCCCTCACCCCCCTCCTGCACCTGAACCCCTTGCCCCAGTGAAATTGAGTGAGGGTGGGAGAAAGTGAGCAACAGAGGGAGGGGGGATGGAGCAAGTGGGGGTGGGGCCTCGGAGAAGGGGTGGGGCAGGGTGTTTGGTTTTGTGCGATTAGAAAGTTAGCAACCCTACGTACATGGTCTTGTGCCTTCCCAGGGAGGCTGTGTTTATATTTGCTTGTGTTTAATTTTTTACGGAAAACATGAACGTCAGCTGTAGGCAGGGGAATGCTAAACACGTTGTGCTTAGGGGCGCGTCAGGTGTAAGTCCGTCCCTGGGTTGCCGTGTGTGGTATTTACAGGAAGGCCAGTTCATCATCACCAAAGGCCTGATCCAAAGCCCACTGAAATCAGTGGAAAGACTCCCGTTGATTTCAATAGACTTTGGATCGGGCCCTAGAGCAGTGTTTCAGATTGTATTTATGGACTCTGCAGAATGTGGCAAAGCCTGTGTAAAGTCCCTAACTCTGCAGAATGAATAGATTTCCAGCACCTGCAGGTTTCAGTTTTCTCCTCTCTCTCCATACAAAGAAAAGGAGTACTTGTGGCACCTTAGAGACTAACCAATTTATTTGATCATAAGCTTTCATGAGCTACAGCTCACTTCATCGGATGCATACCGTGGAAAGTATAGAAGATCTTTTTATACACACAAAGCATGAAAAAATGGGTGTTTACCACTACAAAAGGTTTTCTCTCCCCTCACCCCACTCTCCTGCTGGTATTAGCTTATCTAAAGTGATCACTCTCCTTACAATGTGTATGATAATCAAGTTGGGCCATTTCCAGCATAAATCCAGGTTCCCCCAACCCCCCCCCCAAACCCTTTGAGCAGCGGGTTGGACTAGATGACCTCCTGAGGTCCCTTCCAACCCTGATATTCTTCTCAAATAAATTGGTTAATGAGTGGGGTGGGGGGAGAGAAAACCTTTTGTAGTGGTAAACACCCATTTTTTTATGCTTTGTGTGTATAAAAAGATCTTCTATACTTTCCACAGTATGCATCCGATGAAGTGAGCTGTAGCTCATGAAAGCTTATGCTCAAATAAATTGGTTAGATTCTAAGGTGCCACAAGTCCTCCTTTTCTTTTTGCAAATACAGACGAACACGGCTGCTACTCTGAAATCTCTCCATACAATTATGTCACTTGTCCATGGACTGTTGTGCCTTTTGTAGAGGGATGCAATGCCCCCTAGTGGTACCCCAGATTTTTACCAGGGCCACCTCGCAATAAATGGAGTACTTGTGCCATCTTAGAGACTAACCAATTTATTTGAGCATAAGCTTTCGTGAGCTACAGCCCACTTCATCGGAAAGCTCATGCTCAAATAAATTGGTTAGTCTCTAAGGTGCCACAAGTCCTCCTTTTCTTTTTGTGAATACAGACGAACACGGCTGCTACTCTGAAACCTCGCAATAAATGTGGTCCTTTATTATTATGTTTAGTTGTATTTGCATAATGCCAGAGGCCCCAGGCATGGACTATAGGATCCTGTTGTGCTAGGCGCTGTATGGATGGTCCCTGCCTAAGGCTAGTCAAAAATTTTCTATTGAAACTTTTTTCCAACAGAAAATTGGAGTTTGAACAAAATGAAAACTGTCATCGGGAAGGGTCTGCTTTCTGTGAAAAGTTTCAATTTTTTGTTGGAAAATAATTTTTAGTTTTTGGCCGTTTGGGGCTGAAAACTGGAAAAAAATTGTTTTTCAATAAAAATTCTAACTTTTCTCTGAAAACAAAGACCATTTTCTGACCACCTCTACTGTCCTCACATCTGCTATGCAAAAGGGACCCTCAGAAAGTAGCATTTAGTGGTCACAGATTTACTGTCTGTGCTTGGGACAATTTACTGCATATGTGTTGGGAAGATTGCAAAAGTAACCAATGTGTCTCTCAAGGTGAAAAGAAGAGGAGGGAGCTGTGTGGAGTCAGCATAAGCCAAATGGACAAGATGCTGAGACAATGCAGGGAATATGGCATAACTGTTTTGCACTGAGGGTAGAGCCTGATTGCTCATAAAGGGTTAATGAAAATTTCTCTGTTAAGAGGACATAAATTCCAAATACTGAATAGAGTTTTTATGCTGGATTAGGGATCTCTCTCTTGTTTAAAACTGTCCTTTCCCTTTATATCCACTGATGATTGGAATCACTGGTGCTATTTGCTGATGGTGGTGCGTCTGCCAGACTGGTGGCCAGACATGGCTAAATAGCAGAGCTCTCATCAGTAGCTGTCTCAGTGTGGGCGTACCCAGCATGTTACAAGGTTTCGAACTGAGATCCTTAAAATTCATATGCAACAACCTTAATAGATTATGTACCCAACCCCCCAACACACTTTTCTAACAGAACATTAAGGTTCTTTTAACATTAACATGTGGGAAAAAATCAAGTTGGGCCTGAAGTGGACCCCCAAATCCACCCCACACCCCCACAAATGTTGGTGTGGTTGAAATCCACAACTCAGTCCTACAAAAAATGCATTTTCTGCCTAGAAATAAAAATTCAGGGAAGAAATCCTATTGGTCAGTGGATGAGTTTGAAAGACACTTTCCAAGTCAGCTTTCTGAAAAGCAGTCAGCTCAACTGTTGCTTAGTCCTATTTTATCCAGGCTCCTTCCTCCTCCCCTAAGTGACTAATTTTTTGCCTCTTTTGAAAGGTAAAAATGCCATCTTCAGGGCTGTGGTTAAGGGTGAACCCCCACCCAAGGTGATATGGAGGCGGAGCAAAGAAGAAATGAACAATCCTGACAAATACCAAATGTCTTTCAGTGGCATTACAAACGAGTTCATCCTGAAGGTAAGGGTCAGCTATGGCATATTGGGCCCAGCATAGCAGAGAGAAAGAGATAGGAAGAGAGAAACCCAGCCTGGGATAACAGGGGGGCTGTGGGTCTGGACATCAACAGAGCTGTGTACAGAACCCAGGACCAGAATAGCAGAAAGTGCTGCAGCTCAGGATTGAAGGGCATCAGCAGATCTCTGTACAAGGAACTCAGGACTGGAACAGGAGGGGGTGTTAGAGGTCAAGACTGGGGTGTATTGGAGGAGCTATGTAGAGTCAAGTTGCAGGAACTTCACCCTGGGCTTTGTAAACTGAATTGTCCCAGAGGAGCACAGTTGTCTAGATGGATCATGGATGGAAGTGAGTATGGGTGGCATTGAATCTGCAATAACACCCAGCACTAAAGCAAACAAAGCTTTTAGGAATGTCCTGGGAACAGAAAGAGGATCGAGGACGATACTTTGCAGCTACTTCATAAGGAGATGAGCAACTGGGAAGAGGGGCAGATTCCTCATTCACCATTGCAGGCTGCTGCCAGCTCATACTATCTTCTTCTTTTTAAGATAAACAAACTCTCTACAGAAGATACTGATTTGTACCATTGCTCTGCTGTGAATGAGTATGGGGAAGCTGCATGCATTGCTGGCCTCAAGGTTATACAAGGTAGGACTGGCTGGGTCCTGTGTGAAAACCATCTGATTTGACTTTCACAGAGAACAGTCTATGCTGGTGGTTGCTCAGAGCATTGTCCAGGTTTCCTTTCTCTAGGAGAGGGAGTGTTGTACACACAGGAGATTGGACTTCTTCAGTCACTCCTCCTACTTTGGTGATGGATAGAATAACAGACAGACAAAGAAAAGGAGTACTTGTGGCACCTTAGAGACTAACCAATTTATTTGAGCATGAGCTTTCGTGAGCTACAGCTCACTTCATCGGATGCATACCGTGGAAACTGCAGCAGACTTTATATACACACAGAGAACATGAAACAATACCTCCTCCCACCCCACTGTCCTGCTGGTAATAGCTTATCTAAAGTGATCATCAAGTTGGGCCATTTCCAGCACAAATCCAGGTTTTCTCACCCCCTCACCCCCCTCCAAAAACACACACACAAACTCACTCTCCTGCTGGTAATAGCTCATCCAAAGTGACCACTCTCTACACAATGTGCATGATAATCAAGTTGGGCCATTTTCTGCACAAATCCAGGTTCTCTCACCCCCTCACCCCCCTCCAAAAACACACACACAAACTCACTCTCCTGCTGGTAATAGCTCATCCAAAGTGACCACTCTCCCTACAATGTGCATGATAATCAAGGTGGGCCATTTCCAGCACAAATCCAGGTTTTCTCACCCCCCCACCCCCATACACACACAAACTCACTCTCCTGCTGGTAATAGCTCATCCAAAGTGACCACTCTAGGAATATTTCCAAAATACCTCTGAACAACATACTAATCCACAGAGGCCTCCCTACCAACACTACAGAAAGAAGGATTCTAGGTGGACTCCTCCTGAAGGTCGAAACAGCAGACTGGACTTCTACATAGAGTGCTTCCGCCGACGTGCACGGGCTGAAATTGTGGAAAAGCAGCATCACTTGCCCCATAACCTCAGCCATGCGGAACGCAATGCCATCCACAGCCTCAGAAACAACTCTGACATCATAATCAAAAAGGCTGACAAAGGAGGTGCTGTTGTCATCATGAATAGGTCGGAATATGAACAAGAGGCTGCTCAGCAGCTCTCCAACACGAGTTTCTACAAGCCATTACCCTATGATCCCACTGAGAGTTACCAAAAGCAACCACAGCATTTGCTCAAGAAACTTCCTGAAAAAGCACAAGATCAAATCCGCACAGACACACCCCTGGAACCCCGACCTGGGATATTCTATCTACTACCCAAGATCCATAAACCTGGAAATCCTGGGCGCCCCATCATCTCAGGCATTGGCACCCTGACAGCAGGATTGTCTGGCTATGTAGACTCCCTCCTCAGGCCCTACGTTACCAGCACTCCCAGCTACCTTCGAGACACCACTGACTTCCTGAGGAAACTTCAATCCATCGGTGATCTTCCTGATAACACCATCCTAGCCACTATGGATGTAGAAGCCCTCTACACCAACATTCCACACAAAGATGGACTACAAGCTGTCAAGAACACTATCCCCGATAATGTCACGGCTAACCTGGTGGCTGAACTTTGTGACTTTGTCCTTACCCATAACTATTTTACATTTGGGGACAATGTATACCTTCAGATCAGCGGCACTGCTATGGGTACCCGCATGGCCCCACAGTATGCCAACATTTTTATGGCTGATTTAGAACAACGCTTCCTCAGCTCTCGTCCCCTAAAGCCCCTACTCTACTTGCGCTATATTGATGACATCTTCATCATCTGGACCCATGGAAAAGAAGCCCTTGAGGAATTCCACCATGATTTCAACAACTTCCATCCCACCATCAACCTCAGCCTGGTCCAGTCCACACAAGAGATTCACTTCCTGGACACTACAGTGCTAATAAACAATGGCCACATAAACACCACCCTATACCGGAAACCTACTGACCGCTATTCCTACCGACATACCTCCAGCTTTCACCCTGACCACACCACACGATCCATCGTCTACAGCCAAGCTCTGCAATACAACCGCATTTGCTCCAACCCCTCAGACAGAGACAAACACCTACAAGATCTCTGTCAAGCTTTCTTACAACTACAATACCCACCTGCAGAAGTAAAGAAACAGATTGATAGAGCCAGAAGAGTTCCCAGAAGTTACCTACTACAGGACAGGCCTAACAAAGAAAATAACAGAACGCCACTAGCCGTCACCTTCAGCCCCCAACTAAAACCCCTCCAACGCATTATTAAGGATCTACAACCTATCCTAAAGGATGACCCAACACTCTCACAAATCTTGGGAGACAGGCCAGTCCTTGCCTACAGACAGCCCCGCAACCTGAAGCAAATACTCACCAACAACCACATACCACACAACAGAACCACTAACCCAGGAACTTATCCTTGCAACAAAGCCCGTTGCCAACTGTGCCCACATATCTATTCAGGGGACACCATCACAGGGCCTAATAACATCAGCCACACTATCAGAGGCTCGTTCACCTGCACATCCACCAATGTGATATATGCCATCATGTGCCAGCAATGCCCCTCTGCCATGTACATTGGTCAAACTGGACAGTCTCTACGTAAAAGAATAAATGGACACAAATCAGATGTCAAGAATTATAACATTCATAAACCAGTCAGAGAACACTTCAATCTCTCTGGTCACGCAATCACAGACATGAAGGTCGCTATCTTAAAACAAAAAAACTTCAAATCCAGACTTCAGCGAGAAACTGCTGAATTGGAATTCATCTGCAAATTGGATACTATTAATTTAGGGTTAAATAGAGACTGGGAGTGGCTAAGTCATTATGCAAGGTAGCCTATTTCCCCTTGTTTTTTCCTACCCCCCCCCCCCCGACGTTCTGGTTAAACTTGGATTTAAACTTGGAGAGTGGTCAGTTTGGATGAGCTATTGCCAGCAGGAGAGTGAGTTTGTGTGTGTGTGTGTGTCCCTGGGAAAAACGGGGGGGGGGGGGGGTGAGAAAGCTTGGATTTGTGCTGGACATGGCCCACCTTGATTACCATGCACATTGTAGGGAGAGTGGTCACTTTGGATGAGCTATTACCAGCAGGAGAGTGAGTTTGTGTGTGTATGGGGGTGGGGGGGTGAGAAAACCTGGATTTGTGCTGGACATGGCCCACCTTGATTACCATGCACATTGTAGGGAGAGTGGTCACTTTGGATGAGCTATTACCAGCAGGAGAGTGAGTTTGTGTGTGTGTTTTTTGGAGGGGGGTGAGGGGGTGAGAGAACCTGGATTTGTGCAGGAAATGGCCCAACTTGATTATCATGCACATTGTGTAGAGAGTTGTCACTTTGGATGGGCTATTACCAGCAGGAGAGTGAATTTGTGTGTCGGGGGGTGGAGGGTGAGAAAACCTGGATTTGTGCTGGAAATGGCCCAACTTGATGATCACTTTAGATAAGCTATTACCAGCAGGACAGTGGGGTGGGAGGAGGTATTGTTTCATGTTCTCTGTGTGTATATAAAGTCTGCTGCAGTTTCCACGGAATGCATCCGATGAAGTGAGCTGTAGCTCACGAAAGCTCATGCTCAAATAAATTGGTTAGTCTCTAAGGTGCCACAAGTACTCCTTTTCTTTTTGCGAATACAGACTAACACGGCTGTTACTCTAAGACAGACAAAGGTTGGTCGTGTGGTTTTTGTATTGGCCTGTGACTCAAAAGCTCCAAGTTCAGTGTCTGGCTCTGCTGCAGTCTTGCTGTGTGACCCTGGGCAAGACTTTTAGTCTTCTTGGGCCTCAGTTCCCCATCTGTAAAATGGGGGTGGTAATATTTCCTTTATCAATTTCGATTATAAGCTCTTTGGGGCAGGGACAGCCTCTTCCTATGTGTATGTACAGCTAGCTCAAAGGGGTTCTGATCTTGGTTGGAGCTTCTAGGTGCTGCTATAATACAAATATTTAATAATAACTGGGAGTTATTGGGAATTCATGACACGTGGACACACAAATCCAGGCTAGGATTTCCCTGTGACTTTCACTGATTAGAGATCCGGGGATGGAAGACACTTGTATAAGTATTAAAGCTTGTTAGTATTATTATCACGGTTACCTAATGATTTTTATTTCTTTTCTTTCTTTGCTCTGTCTCCTCTCCCAACTCATCAGTTAGTTTCAAGAAAACAACAAAACCATTCCCCACTGAGCCTCAGGAGGGTAAGTGTGGAGAACAAGAGAGCTATCTGTATTATGTTTTATGAATATCATATGCACTTCAGTTAACCTGCTTGATATTATCCAGCCTGGCTGCAAGAAGGAGAATCAAAGGAGACTATTAGGGGAAACAAACAAGAAATAGAACAATGGCAAAGAAAAGGTACCATCAGAGAGAAACAGTGGGGAAGCTAATAATAAGAGAATGTCCACTTGTCTGACTCCAACTCCGCTAGCAAGGTTTATTTTTCTCAGGCCCACATCTGGGATCAAAGGGGATATTAAACTATTAAAGTTCCTGGCGTAGAAAGGAAGGGGGATTGAGCAGGCAGTAGAGGCTGGAGATGGATCTTTGACAGAGAGAGACAGAGAATGCTTCAGGAGCTGTCTGTCTTTCTCAGGAAAAGGGGTGTCTGAGCCAAGTGGAACTTACCCAAAACTTACAAGAAAAGAATAAAGTTTAGGTAAGACACAGGTGTATAGGCCTTTTGTTGTTTTGTCCCTTTTCTCTGCTTGTTACGGGTGAATAAATAACGCTTTGTTTCTGAAGAAGCTGTTTTTGAGTCACTTTAATCAGGTGCAGGTCACAAGCCCCAAGAGAAAAATGGTTTATAGGTGCCAAGCCCAGTTGGACCTGTTGTGTTAATGGGTTGCCACCCAGAGATCCAGTCCCAGAGTGGTTGGACCGTGGGAAAAGTGAGAGGAAGACAGGCCTTCACCTAAAGGGTGCGCTAGAGGGACTAAAGGGTATCTAAAAGACAGCTCACCATTTAGCTGCAATAGTGCGTTTTCAGCTAAATTTTCAGAAGTAGCCTAAGATGTCTCAATTTGGACACCTATTAGTGGCCACTTTGCATCATGGTGGCCTTAGTTTTTCTAAAGCTCTTTTTGGTTCTGTGTTACATCCTGTTGGGTGACTCCATTTTCACATCCTGCCATTTCTTTTTCTTACAGACCTGAAGAAAGAGTTGCAGGACTTCAGGAAAATATTAAGGAAGCGGTGAGTGGCCCCGGGGCAAGACCAGTGTCATAAAAGATACTTGTTTCACCTTTGTGGCAGGGGTGACTATCCACCCTTCACAGATCATCCGGGCAACACTACCTGCTTCTGTTTGTCTGGAGTCACCACGTAGGAGGTGCTCTGCTACTGGCTCTGGGGCTGAGGTCCCAGCGCTCTCCAGTAGGAGGCACCTACAGGGCTGTGCTGCTGATGCTATCTTGTCTCACAAAGTTTGCCTTGTGGAATCTTCTGTCTCTTCTGCTCCTGCATTTTAGCTCACTCTGAACTTATTGCGGAAATGGCTGAAAAAGGTACAGAGACATGTTGCCTGTATCCCAACAGTAACACCTCTGGCCAATTAAGGAGCAGCATCAGTGTGTCTCAGAAAGATTCCCATCCTGTCTAGTCTTCATCCGCTGGTGGATATGACCTCCAGAAAGGGTGGAGATGAAGAATGAAAGAGGGGTAAATTAAGAGGAAAGAGGTGCTCCCCGTTGCCTATCTAAACTCCCAGATTCTCCTCCTTTGACTGTTCCTTAGAACTCCACTACCTGCACAGAAGGAAGTTGACATGGAACAGGTCTGGCAGCTGCTGCTGAATGCCGATAGGAAGGATTATGAGAAAATCTGTTTAAAGTATGGGATTGTTGACTTCCGTGGGATGCTGAGGAAGCTTCAGCAGATGAGGAAGGACAGAGAGGACAAGCAACAACAGGTAAGACAAAGCTTGAAAAACCATTGGATTTCAGTTAGACGTAAGCTCTTCTGGGCCTAAATCACTTTAGAAAATGGGATTTAAGCTCCTAAGTCACTTACATGCTTTTGAACATTTTACCCAAGGACAGCAAAACATTAGCAGCAATACAACAAAGAAGGCTCAATTCCAGCCTGACCTGTGTGTAACTCCTGTAATTTCAGTGGACTTCACTTTGCAAGGTATTGGTGGAATTGGTACTAGGGAGCCCATTTTTTAAAACCTGGGTGCTGAATTTTGTATTTGGGTGCCTGTGCAGCTTGTGCTGATTTACACACTCAAATGTAGAATTAGGTCAACCGATACAGACAACCATATTTGAAAATTGGACCAATAGTGTCTGCTTTGTGTATGAGTGACCAGGGGGCTGCTGGGTACTATCCAGCTTGCCTAAAGCAGCAAAAAGTGGAGGGCTAGTGCTGTTCCTTTTGCTACGCTGATACAGTGGTGGGTAAAGTAGGTTCCACACCATTTTGACAATCTAATGGAAAATCTACCAAAGCCAGCCCTATCCTATACCATGTGCTTGTGTCTGTCCTTCACAGTATATCTACAGTGTCACAAACCTCAAGCACATCAAGGTCAATAAGGAGGGGAATGCTACATTCCATCTAGAGATGGACCTGAAAAATCCTGAGAGCAGAATTTACCTGTACAAGGTAAGGTGGGAGAAGGAGTGGCGAGATCAAGCCATGCTGAGATTACAACGGTCACTTAGATCTGACTCAGAACATGCCTGATTCACTGTGCAGCAACTGAGTGTGTACGAATTGCTTTATAATGTGTCTCTCAATAGCAACTCCTTTGATTGATTAAGGACCATAATTGAAGTGGGAGTCCCATCCAGTTGTCCTCTGCTGGTAGATGTGGCATGAGACCTGAAGTGCAGAAGATGAAGGGGTTACAATAAAGACGGAATATTCAAGTCCATCACGGTCCTCCATGGAAATTCAAGAACCCCACAGGCAATAAATTGATCCCTGCAGTCTCAAATCAGCAAATTCAGATTAGTCTCATTCATTTTGATGGGCATTGTGTCCCTGTCTAATTTGTCTTCTATCAAAGAGGACTCTGAAGGAAATTAAAAAATACACCTAGTTACAGAATTTCACAGCCATGGTCAATAGATCATTGGTGGTGCAGGTGATTTATGAACAGCAGGATGATCGCATGGTGCTGAGTCCTCTTCCTCATTTCCTGCTGCTACATTGCATTCAGAAACAGCTAAAACTACATTAAGTATTTTCCTAATATGCCTTTCCTATGTAAGCAGTTTTTATAGCTGTTTTAGAGACATTTATGCAGTGCCAAATGAACTCTCAGTGCATTAAAAACAGCTAATGGGATCTTTGGCTGTATGAGCAAGGAGTGGTGAACAGTAGTAGCGAGGTGGGTTTACCTCTGTATACTGCGCACATTTTTAACAGCGAGCGTGATTAACAGTTGCAACAAACTACCAAAGGAAGTGGTGGATTCTTCATTTCTTGAAGTCTTCAGATCAAGACTGTGTGTCTTTTTGGAAGATATGCTTTAGCCAAACACAAGTTACTGGACTCAACACAGCGATAACTGGGGGAAATTCTCTGGCCTATGTTATAGACGAAGTCAGACTAGATGAACTAATGGTCCCTTCTGCCCTTAAACTCTGTGAAGCTATGAAACAAATGGGTGGGGAAGTGGTCCGTGCAGCCACAAGTGGTAGCGGAGATGGTGAGTAAAATCACAGATTGGAAGGCAGTTTGATCGCAAGCTATTCCATCCACATTAGGAGAGCATCTAAGCACCCTGAGCATTTACATCTTCAAAGCTACAAAAAGAAACTAATTAAACCTCAAAACGCCATGTGAATTAGGCAAATAAATGTTTTTTCCTCATTTAAGTAGGGTGACCAGATGTCCTGATTTTATAGGGACAGTCCTGGTTTTTGGGTGTTTTTCTTATATGGGCTCCTATTACCCCCACCTCCCCCCACCCCAGTCCCAATTTTTCACATTTGCTGTCGGGTCACCCTACGTTTAAGAGAGTTCTGTACAGGGCTCATTGTGAAGTCAGTTTTCATAAGCAATGAGCAGCAACTGCCCATTATCAGCAATAATAGGCTATAGGGCCAACAAATATGTGGACAAAGGTGATCCAGTGGATATAGTGTACTTGGACTTTCCAAAAAAACTTTGACAAGGTGCTTCACCAAATGCTCTTAAGCAAACCAAGCAGTCCTGGGATAAGACAGAAGGTCCTCTCATAGATCAGTAACTGGTTAAAAGTTGGTGGGGAGGGAAGGGTAGGAATAAATGGTCAGTTTTCAGAATGAAGAGAGGTAAATAGCTGAGTCCCCTAGGGATATGTACTGGGACCAGTGCTGTTCAACATATTCATAAATGATCGGGAAAAGGGATAAACAGTGAGATGGCAAAATTTGCAGATGATACAAAATTAGTCAAGATCTTAAGTCCAAAGCTGACTGTAAAGAGTTACAAAGGGATCTTACTAAACTGGGTGACTGGGCAACAAAATGGCAGATGAAATTCAGTGTTGATAAATGCAAACTTAAAGTAATACATATTGTAAAACATAATCTGAAGTATACATATAAAATGATGGGGGTCTAGATTAGCAATTACCAGTCAAGAGAGAGATCTTGGAGTCATTTTGGATAATTCTCTGAAAATATCCATTCAATGTGCAGCAGCAGTCAAAAAGCTAACAGAATGTTAGGAACTGTTAGGAAAAGGCTAGATAATAAAACAGTAAATATCATAATGCCACTGTATAAATCCATGGTATACCCACACCTTGAGTACTGTGAGCGGTTCTGCTTACCCCATCTCAAAGAAGATTTATTAGAAATGGAAAAGGTAGAGAGAAGGACAACAAAAATGATTAAGGATGTGGACCAGCTTCCGTATGAGACGAGATTAAAAAGACTGGGACTTTTCAGCTTGGAAAAGAGACAACGACAGGGGGATACGATCGAGGTCTATAAAATCATGACTGGTGCGGAGAAAGTGACCAGGGAAGTGTTATTTGCCCCTTCACATAACACAAGAACCAGGGGTCACCCCATGAAATTAATAGGCAGCCAGTTTAAAATAAACAAAAGGAAGTATTTCTTCACACAAGGCACAGCCAACCGGTGGAACTCGTTGCCAAGGGATGTGTGAAAGCCAGAAATATAACTGGATTAAAAAAAGAATTAGATAAGTTCCTGGAAGATAGGTCCATCAGTGGCTATTAGCCAAGATGGTCAGGGATGCAACACCATGCTCTGGATATCCGTAAGCCTCTGACTGCCAGATGCTGGAAGTGGACAACAGAGGATGGATCACTTGACAATTGCCCTCTTCTGTTCATTCCCTTTGAAACATTAGCCACTTTTGGAAGACAGGATACTGTGCTAGATGAACCATTGCTCTGGCCCAATATGGCCATTCTTATGTTCTCAGCCATCCCTGGTATAACTCATTGACATAAATGGAGTTGTACCAGGGATGAATTTGGCATAATGTGTTTGAAGGGATTTGGACCTCTGGGGTCCCGTATGCTACAAACCGAGTGTTGCACATTTAACATATTGCACTTAGGAATTCAGGTAGTCTTGGGTTGGTGCTTTAAACCCATTTAATGTCTTTCCATTTAAACAAGTGCATTGCTCTAACTCAGCAAATTGCCTCTTTTCTCCCTTTAGGATGGCCAGCTGATCAATTATGGATTCAACGATGACAAAGTAAAGCACTGTCTGAGGCAGGCAGGGAAAAAGTACAACTTCACCATCAACCACCTGCAGCTGGAAGATGCTGGCGTGTACCAGATCAAAGTGGAAGATGTGGATGTCTTCTCAACTGAGCTAGAAGCTGACTGTAGGGACCTGAGCTTTATAAACATGCACTTTGCCAGGATGTGATAAGAACCCATTGCAGATGGGAAATCTAATCTGGGACTAAATTTCAAACTCAGCAGTGGAAACCAATAGCCACTGAAGTCTATGCAGGCAAAGGCTCTTACTCTCTAATAATATACTTGTGTCAAAGAGAGAAAGGGTAGGAAAGGTGGTCATGTGGACAGGACACTGGATTAGGTTTTAGGATCAATGGGTTCAATTCTCAGTTCAGCACAGACTTCTTATATGACTTTGGGCTTGACTCTTAATTTATCCTGTGCCTCAGTTCCCCTTCTGTAAAATGGGGATAATAATCCTCTTTGTCAAAGGGATGTTGTGAGGCTAAAAGTCCATGAATGATTGTGAACTGCTCAGACACCACAGTGATAAGGTATAGGTACCTAGTTAAGTAAAAAAAAATATATTCCTGTACCACTCACAAGTAGACTAAGGCGTACATCTCCGGGTAACTGTTCTTTCTGCCAGCGCAAAAGCTTGCTGACTTCAAATTTTCTTTCATCCATCCATCCATCCACATTTAGTCCTAGTGAGTCAAGCAACTCCTTCACCCACATTTTCCTAACAATGGCCCTCAATCCTAACTTGGAGAGACCACGTTCCATTATAAGGGAATGGGCGCTACCCCACCCTGGTCATTGGATATAGAAGTGGGCTGTTCCTTTTTTGGTCCTTGTAGGGAAATGAGCCATCCCATCCAAGATTTGCAGAGGGACTGGAAGTGGCAGCTGTCCCACTGTAACTTTCCATAGTGGCCTCCAATAGGAGGGAAACAACATTACTTTGCTTCAAGATATGTTTTTGTATATTTCTTGTATAAAATATAATAGAAGGGAGGGTCATTTTAGGGGGCATGTAACACACTCTTCTCACAGCCTCCCAGAGTGTAGGAGACTTTCCTAGGCTCCAGCATAGCTTTTCTCCCTGAAAGACCTGAGCTGCCTGTCACGGAGAATCTGTTACATGACTAATAGCCCTTGATTTGCCATTGCAGTCATTCCTGTGGGATTCCGACGCTTGCTTAGTGAAGTGCACTGCCATGAGCAAGGAAATGCCATCTTTGAATGCAGCCTATATAGCCCCTGCTATGATGCCATGTGGCTGTATAGAAAACATCCCATTGAGAAGAGTGACAAGTACAAAATCTCCATCTCTCCTGATGGCCTGACCCACCAGCTGGTGATTAAAAACACACAGCTCACTGACAAAGGGACTTACACCCTCGATATAAGAATCTGCTCCTCTAGTGCATGGCTGGAGGTGGAATGTGAGTAACACTCTATTCTTCCCTTAGCTTCAGTTTTGCTTTCTTATGGTGGACCTAACTTTGTCACCAGGTGGCCTGCCGTTAGACATGGATTGCTGTTGGGAGTTGATTGTTAAGCTGGTGGCTCTGGAGTGCTATCTGGGAAAGTAGGAAGCAGGTTAGAAAGTAACTTCAGCCTTCCTCTTCAGTAGGACTATGACAATCAGACAATAACTCCCCTCCTTATGAACACTGACAAAACCTGCAAGCTCTCATTTCCCCTATTGCCATAAGATGGATTCTCCATCACTTGGAGATTTTAAATCAAGACTGGATCTCTCTTAAAAATACACTCCAACTCCACCGCAATATAGGAACTTGATGAAGAAATTACAGGGTGAAAATTTTTGGCCTGTGTTACACAATAGATCAGACAAGATGATCACAAATATCCTTTCTGACCTGAAACTCTACTATTCCTATTCAAGTGCTGCTATTTCTAAAGTAGGGTCCTCTTAATTAGGCTATCCAAATCAACTATCTGTTGTCCTCATTAAGTTGCTGACCTTCAACCCAACTGGGACCAGATGAGGAAAGTTGAACCCCCAGACCTCTGGCCTGTTAACCATATTTACAATTGGTAGTGTACATCCTTATTTAACTTACCTAAGGAACAACTACACTTTAAGTAAATATTAACCTATATATAGGGCTGGAGTCTTTACTCCTTGGGTGGGAAATTTAGAGGGTCAGGGCCCCAAACCTGCAGTTCAACTAGTAGGCCCTGTACTTTGGAGTATGGTGGGGATTGTTAGCCACTGGGTATGTGATCTTTTTGTTGAATTCAGGAGAGGGATGGGTATGAGAGGGATGGGTACAAGGGAGAAGTTGCCTTTGTGTCCATGGTATCCCCTCAGCCTCTCATGACAGGAACTGTGGGGTTGACTGATGACTGATCCTTCCTAATCTGATAGGCTCCATTACCTAGTTAGAGCCAGGCCTCTTCAAGGTTTAAGGCTACCTCAGGATACCTGGATAGTGTTTTCAGCTATTTTACTTAGACCTCCCTCAAAGCAGCTCCTCTTGTTGAGTGATGATGGACAAACCCCTCCAGCAGAGAGCCAGGGGTTAGTCTGCAGGGAAGGCTTCCTGTTAAACTTGCCATAGATACACATTCAGCCAGAAGTGGCCTTTCGCTCCAGCCCCACTACACCTCTAGGCTGGAGCTACTGAGACAGGGCCTCCCTAAAATGGCTTTAGGATCAATCAGGTTTGCTATCAACCCCCAGGTGGCCTAAGATGGCTGCTAGCTATTGCTGGTATCCTCTGGGTGTCTCTTGGCCAACACTGATCTCTGTGAGTCTGTGCTGGCCCACTACCCGTGGCTGCTGGCTGCTGCCAGTCACTGCTGGCTCCATGCAAACTCCTGTAAGAGGACTCTGATTGTCTCCATTTACTGGCTGTCCCACTGGTGTGTTTAGACTCCCCTGTGTAAGTTCCCTGAGGAGGTCTCTGCTCCTCAGCAGAGGAGAGTCGGGAGGGGCATGGAATGTTCGTCTCCAACTGCCATAACGGACTTTCTTGTTTACTTTCAATGGGCCCCTTTCCCTCTCAGCAACAGCTATCTCTGTACTTCTGAAAACCACAGCATCCCCCAGTGGATGAAAAGCTAGATGTGGCTTTGGCTCTGCCCATCCTCAGGCTAAACACTGCTTCACCCCCAAAATAAAATGTTGAGAGACTATCTCTCTCAGGGCCCTTCCACTCTTCCCATGATGCAAACTAACCTGAATCTGATGAGCATCAGGGCACATATGAAAATGGGAGGGAACTGTGATTGTGAGGGTATGGCATTGTTTGAAGGGGAGGATATATGTTTTAAGTTTTGTCAGGGATGCCTATCACATACAAGTTAGGCACCCTTTATATGCATTTAACTAAATGAGTAAATAAGAAAAGCTTGGTGGGTAAAATAATTGAAACAAAACTCTGTAAACTACCATTTCATTCTGAAATTTACAAAATGGAGCTGCAAAAGTTGCACTGTCTTTCATGTCAGCTTTAAGTCTCTTTTTGGAGTGAGAACAGACCCATTTCTACTTAAAATGTTGGTTTTTGTCTGAGAAACATAAAATTCTGACTGAAACTTCCATTGGAAACATGCAAGATTTTGAGTTTTATATATTCTGGGTGTGAAAATGTCCTCTGTGCAAAAAATTAAATTTCTGTATTGTGAAATGTCCTGGAATGAAATCATAAAAATCGTAGTGCAAAATTGAATGCTCTCATTTTCATCCCTTTCATACATTTCTCATTACAGTGGCATGATATTTCATTTGGTGGCTGCAGTGTTATGTGAGATTTTTATTCACTGTTCCTATTGCTTTTGTCTTTTCTTTCCTGTGAATGGCTTCTTCTCCAATCAACGAACAATGTGTCCACAATGCAGCTGCCAGAGGAAAGAGCAGACAAACTGAAGGAGATGGAACAGATAAAACTGGATGGCAGACAGATAAGTCCATGTTACTAGATGAAGAAGGTGCTAAGGAACTTCTACAGGGAGAAGGCCTTGGGAATCAAAACCACCTTAAAAGCACCAGAATGGGCAAAGATGGCCAGTATGGAAGTAACCAAGATGGTAGTCGAGACCTCTATGGCTCCTCAATGGATGTTGATTGGCAACATGGATCTTTGGGACAAGATAGGCTAACTGGAAGGGTGGGGAAGGATGGAAGGATGGGGAAAGGCCAGTTTTCTGGAGCAGGCACAGATGGAGTTTCAGTGGCAAATGGGAATAAATTTGGTTTGGCTAGTAGTGAATGTGGACGTTTAGGAAAGATTCATGGGCAAGACTTGAAGTTAGGTGGAGCTGGTATTGGTAGTGCAATAGTAGAAGGGGATCTGCATTCTTTTTATGGCGAGGAGTCTATGCTGGGTGGAGCTGGTTCTGGTGGCGGATTAGGGGGAGCAGGAGGGTTGGGTTCTTTAGACGGTAGAGATTCCATGCTTGGTGGTGCTGGTGCTAGGTTAGGAGGCTCAGGAGAATTGGGATCTCTCCATGGCATGGAAGGCGGTGCGAACATTGGTGGTGCTGGGTTAGGAGGAGCAGGGAGTGTAGGATCCCTCTATGGCAAGGATGGTATGCTACTTGGAGCCAGTGTTGGTGCTGGAGACCATCTAGATGGTGCTGGAGACATGGGTGCTCTTGGTGACAGAGATGCCATACTAGGTGCCTCTGATGTTGGTGGTGCTGGCTCAGGTGATGCAGGGGGCACAAGTTCCCTCTTTGGTGAGGATGGCATGCTAGGGGGAGCGGGTGGTTCTGGTGCTGGACTAGGTAGTGCAGGGGGCACGGGTTCTCTCTGTGGTGAGGATGCCATGCTAGGGGGAGCGGGTGCTGGTCTCGCTGATCTCGCTGGTCTAGGTGGTGCAGGCTCCCTCTATGGCAAGGATGTTATGCTAGGTGGAGCCAGTGTTGGTGCTGGACTAGACGGTGCTGGAGGCATGGGTGCATTTGATGGTGGCGGTGCTGGCTCAGGTGGTGCAGGGGGCATGGGCTCCCTCTGTGGTAAGGATGGTATGAAAGGTGGAACCAGTGCTGGATTAAGAGGCGCAGGAGGCATACAGTCTTTTTATGATGAGGATGATATGCTTGCTGGGGCTGGCGCTCATGACGCTGGTCTAGGCGATGCATGTGGTAGGAAGTCTCTCTGTGGTAAGGACGGTATGCTAGGTGCAGTTGGGGCTGTGGCTGGTGGAGATGAGGCTGAGATTGGTGGTACCAGTGCTCGTTTAGGTGGTGCAGGAGGAATGAGGTCTCCCGGTGGTAAGGATCGTGGGCTAGGTGGAGATGGGGCTGGTACTGGTGTTGGTGGTGATGATTTAGGTAGTCCAGGGGTCATAGGGTCTCTCTATGGTAATGACGGTATGCTAGGTGGAGCTGGTGCTGCTGGGGCTGGGGCTGGGAGTGGTTTTGGTGGTGCGGGGGGCGGGGTGTCTCTCTATGGTAAGAATGGAATGATAGGTGGAGCTGGCTCCGGGGCGGATGGTTTTGGTGCTGGTGTAAGTAGCCCAGGGAGGATGGAAACTCTTTCAGGAAAGGATGCTATATCTGGTGGAGCTGATGCTGGATTAGGAAGAGCAGGGGGTCTGACGGGTGCTCTCTGTGGCAAGAATGGTATGCACAGTGCTGGTTTAGGTGACTCAAGGGGTGAGGGCTATCTCTGTGGTAAAGATGCTATGCTAGGTGGAGCTGGTACTGGTTTAGATAGTGCAGGAAGGATAGACTCTCTCTATGGTAAGGATCCTATTTTAGGTGGACATGGTGTTGGTGGAGCTGCTGCTGGATTAGCAGGTGCAGGAACCATGGGTTCTCTCTCTGGCAAGGATGCCATGCTAAGCGGAGTCGGTGCTGGATCAGCAGGTGCAGGAACCATGGGTTCTCTCTCTGGCAAGGATGCCATGCTAAGCGGAGTCAGTGCTGGATCAGCAGGTGCAGGAACCATGGGTTCTCTCTCTGGCAAGGATGCCATGCTAAGCGGAGTCGGTGCTGGATCAGCAGGTGCAGGAGACATAGGGTCTCTCTATGGTAAGGATGCCATGCTAAGCGGAGTCGGTGCTGGATCAGCAGGTGCAGGAACCATGGGTTCTCTCTCTGGCAAGGATGCCATGCTAAGCGGAGTCGGTGCTGGATCAGCAGGTGCAGGAGACATAGGGTCTCTCTATGGTAAGGATGCCATGCTAAGCGGAGTCGGTGCTGGATCAGCAGGTGCAGGAACCATGGGTTCTCTCTCTGGCAAGGATGCCATGCTAAGCGGAGTCGGTGCTGGATCAGCAGGTGCAGGAGACATAGGGTCTCTCTATGGTAAGGATGGTAAGGTAAGTGGAGCAGGGCCTGGTGCTGGTATAAGTGGTCCAGAGGGCATGGAGTCTTTCTTTGACAAGGATGGTATGTCTGGTGGCACCAGGGCTGGTGCTGAAGTAGGTGGGGCAGGTGTGTTGGATTCCATACATAGCGAAGGTTTAGTGCTAGGTGGGGCAGGGCCTGGTACTGGTGGTGCATTCATAGGAGCTTGGGGCACGGATTCACTTGACAGCAGAGATTCCATCTTAGATGGAGCAGTTGCCAGTGGTGGTAATGGTGGTTTAGGACACTTGGGTTCCCTTTGTGGCAGGGATCCTGCCCTTGGTGGAGCAGCTGTTGGTGCAGGAGGTAAATTACAGGATGGCTCCATTGATGGGAGAATGCCAGGTGTTCATGGTGAAGGGTCACTGGGTTATGATCAGATGTCAGGCCATCATAGTGGAGTCCAGGCTGATGCCAGAAGAGGACAGATATCAGGCCTTAATGCCAGGGGACTAAGTGCAGAAGAAACCTTGAAAAACAGAGACTGGAAAAGAAGAGGAGGTTTTCTCCAAGATGAAGCAAGGGGTATTCACTTTTCATTGATGGCTTTTATGGTGCTATTGCTCTAGTATTTTAGAGAAGAAGGATAATCTTGTGGTTGAGATCTAGGTCTGAGAACTTGGAGGCTTTCTGTTCTACCTGTGACTGTGCCATAAATTTCCTTTGTGATCTTAAGTAAATCACAGGCCCAGATTTTTAAAAGTGGTCACTGATTTTGGGTATCTCCTGTTTTGGGTGCCTAACTTGGATCTGATTTACAGAAGTGCTGATGCTCCCAACTTGTAGCTGAAGTCGATGGGAGCTCCATGCATTCAACACATATGGAAGGGGAGACTTGAAAATGTTTGTCTGAGCTTCCACATCTTTAAATGGAGATAGTAACTTCACCACTTCCAGGAGGTTGGGCAGAGATTTATAACTGTCTGTTAAAGTGCCTTGAGATCCTTGTGATAGAACCGGTATATATTAATGATAGCCTTTAGAAATATTGTGAGATCTCTCTGGAACCCCCCTCTAAGCCCTTCTAACTCCTTCCTATGAAATAAACAGACTCAAAGCACACAAGGAATAGGCATTATCCAGTTCACAAAAAATTAGTTTCTATATCTTTTCAAGTAAAGTGTCCATATTTCTTCGCCATCTCCCAGTAGTTCAAAACAGATCCTTTTACTTTATTGTTTCTAATGATGTCCAGTGCAAAGATCTCCATTTTTCTACAGCCCTGAGACCCATTCAGTGCCAAATTTTCTGTTATATGAAAATGCACATAAAATCCAACCCAGAAAACTCTTACTCATATTAGTTGGCCTTATCTGACTAACACCACTGAAGTCAATGAGGCTGCTCATGAAAATAAAGACTACTTAACTCAGTGTGGATAAGGTCTATAATGCCAAATATTTCTGGTTTTGTGCTGAGTTTCTTATGGGAATGAGGGATTGGGATACGTGTGCCCACTTAAATACAACACACTTGAAATCAAGCTTGTAGTGTATCTACTTGTCCATTATATTGACTTGACTTGCATGCAGAACGTTGGCAGATCTTCAGTTGACGTATATCAGCACGACCTCAATTAAATCAGTGTCAGTTTACACCATCTGAGGATCTGGCTCAATTGTATTTTGGGATTATTATTGGAGGACTTCTTTTTATAAGAGTGCTGCCTGCCTGTTCTTCCCATCTGCACGGGCATTTTTGTTCTCAGATGTTACTCCCCCAGTATGTTCTCTTGTGTAACAAATGGTCAGTGCATTTCCAATGTGGGCTCTTTTCCTCTCTGTATGTTCAGAATCACATTGCCATTTCAACAAAGGGTTGTCTGATGTCAGTGCCCAGAAAGGGAAACCCACTGTGCTGTCTTGCAGCCTCAATAACGATCAGGTGGAGGGAATCTGGTTTAAAGATGAATTCGAGGTAAGGGTGCAATAACTCACTGTTTTCTTGGGACACCAAGGACTTATTTCACTTGCTGGCTACAACTTTCATGCGATATTATGGCAAGGTGTTTCCTTACTCTGCCCCACTTTCATGTGGCTGAGAGACAGGGTCCTGTGCAGTGGTGCCCCAGTTTCCACTGTAAGGGAAGGCAGCAGACTAGTCTCCCTGGCCACTGAGTCTGACCTGTGTGGGATTGCACCCGAGCCTGTTTGGCTCAAGCCTCCCGAGGGGAATTGGGCAGGGTTCCTCCCCAGTCCCACCACAGGGCCATTTGCATTCTCACATCTACACTAGGAGGGTATTGTGAGGTTTTTTTCCCATCTCATTTTCCTTGACATGGGCAGGGAAGGGACAAGCCTCCTTTCTTCTCCCCACTACTGATTATTTAGAATACATATACATACTAGGTGCATTCAGAAATGCAAAGAAAAACAAGGTGCCTTCTCCAAGGAACTTCAGGTTGAAGATATGATTGTGAGAGGTGTGGACCGTCCACAGTGCTCATTGAAATCAATGCTCAGCACCACTTAAGATAAGACAAATTAGATGCAATGTCTCATTACAATGCAGGAGAATGGTTTGGGTCACAAGGTCACTGAGGATGAGATTGCAGTAGTCCAGATGAGAAATGACCCAGGCATGGAACCAGGTTTTAGAAGTAGGGATGGAGAGGAATGGAGACAGCTTAGATATATTAGGACCTGCTCCAAAGCCCACTGAGGTCAATGGAAAGACTCACATTGACTTTAATGGACTTTGGATCAGGCCCTTAGTAGGGAATATATTGGTCCATCAGTGGTTACATGAAGGGTTACCAGTTAAATAATCAAAGAATATCATAGTAATTAAGCAATGGTGACCAAAACATAGGCTCTTACCTGGGGATTAATGATGAGCTATGGTGGACACAGCTGAGGAACCCTAGACAGTCAACTGATTCCTATGAAATACCCTGTTTTGAGCTGCTTGTTGCTACAGAGGATCTGTGCTACACCCCAGCTTTTAGACTAGAGGTTCTCAAACTGGGGGTCGGGACCCCTCAGGGAGTCGTGAGCTGTCAGCCTCCACCCCAAACCCCGCTTTGCCTCCAGCATTTATAGTGGTGTTAAATATATAAAAAAGTGTTTTTAATTTATAAGAGGGGTCAGACTCAGAGGCTTGCTGTGTGAAAGGGGTCACCAGTACAAAAGTTTGAGAACCACTGTTTTAGATCATCTTTTGAAGTAACCCAGTCAGTGTGGCAGACCTCCAAGGAGTCCCACTTGCCCTGCTGCCTCACCGCCTCCTAGATTGGAGCCTCTGGGTTTCAGCACTCCTGTTTCATACCATGAGCTCTCCTCAGCGAGTCCCACTGAAGTGGACTCCTGGTTGGAGTCTTGTACAACCTTCAGGAACTAATGCACCCCAGCAAGTATTTGTAGTGACACCCAAGCAGAGTTTTCAAAACAAAGCAGGATATATTAGTCAACAGGAACACAGCACTGGAAGTCCTTAGGTTAGCATGGAGAAACGAAAGTTAAAGCATAGTCCATTTTAGTCAAGCCAGAGTAATTCGCTAGCCAAGCTGTAGTTAACTCCCTTTTCAGGCTCTGTTGACTTCCTTAGTCAGTCCCCGTAGCTAGCTCCCAGCCACTTCCAGAAACCAATTCTTTACTGCCTTTTGGTCACCTCCCAGTCCTTTGTTTTCCAGGTAGGTCCATGCTGAGTTCAAACCCAGGGGTGAGAGGTGGGGGAAAGCTCCTTCCTCTGGGTGTTGATTGCTAGGTGTCAATGATATGGCCTTTAGGGTTTTCTATGTTCTTCTCAGATTTTCCACTGATAAGGGTTGACCTTAGCCAGTCCTTCTAATGACCCATTCAGTCCACTCAGACAGCTAAGTGGCATACCCCCCCACACATGTCTCTTTGCCCCAAGAGCAAACTTAATCATTTTTCTCCCACTGAGTAGAAAAGCTATATATGGGGAAAACTGAGGCTTCATAAAAATACTACAGGAAATTCCCACTTTGTCACACCTGGATTTTGTATTCAGTTTCATTTGGCACATCGAGCATTCTTATTTCCCAAGTCCAATTCCCTTTGTCTCCCAATAAAAAAAAAAGCAAGTGTTTCCCTGTATCTTTTGTTAATATTTTGAACTGCATTTGATCATCCAAATAGTTTGAAATTTTGCACTTCCATTGTATTTGGCTGATACGTTTGGTGTGCTACCCGGTTTCCAGAAAAGATTGCAAGCAAGCCAAGAAGACCACAATATTTGCTTTGGCCAGGCAGAAAAATTGTCAGGTTTGTGATATCGGAGGGGGTGTTTTATAGAGATGGTCAACATTTTTCCATTCTATTTTTTTTTTTTTTGAGGGAAAATGACAGTTCAACTGAAGGGAAATTTTCACCAAAATAAATAAATAAATAAATAAATTTTCATCAAAAATGTTTGCATTTTCAGTTTTCTGAGGAAAAGAAAGTGTTCAACATTTTTAATGGAAAATGATTTTTTTATTAAAAATGTTGACCAAATTTTCTTTTCCTTCCCCCCCCGCCCCCCAAAAAATCCAAAAAATGTTGATGAAAAGGGATGTGTGTGAAAATTGAAGTTCAAGAGTCATTTTCCAGTCGGCTCTAGTGTGTTATCTTCTTGGCTGGCCAGTCTTTCTTTTGAATAGCCATATTAATAAACCGGAAAGTCCCATCTGACATTTGTCCTGCCAAAATATTGGATATATTAATAAACCGGAAAGTCCCATCTGACATTTGTCCTGCCAAAATATTGGATGGTTCCTGTAAAGAAAAAATGTCTCCCTGTCTTTTACACAGCAGCTAACAGGCCTGGATGAACTCTCTTCTGAAAAATATGGGCTGGTCCACAAACTGATAGACACAGTAGAAGAGAGTCATGCTGGGAAGTATAAATTTGAAGCTGAAGGTGTCAAAACTGAAGCATCTATTTTTGTTGAAGGCAAGTCTGTTCAAATTGCTTCATTGCCTCGATGTTAAAAAGGCAGCTGGAATGCTCATGTTCCTAATGCAATGTATTAGCCTGCATGTGCTTAAATGTAATGCAGAATTTCTCAAATTGGGGTCCATGGACCCCTGGGGGTCCACAAGGGTACTCCAGGGGGTCCGCAAGTCATGTCCAGGGCTGCCAGCCCTGCTGATCAACTCCTCTCCCTCCCTCACAGTGCCTCCTTCATGCCATGGAACAGGTATTCAGCAGCGTGCAGGAGGCGATGGGAGGGAAGGGGAGGAGCAGGGATGGGGCAAGCTCGGGGGAGGGGATGGAAAGAGGCGGGGAAGAGAAGGGGTAGGGGTGGAGTGGGGGTGGGGTGAGGTGGGTCCTTGGGGGAAGGGATGGAGTGTGGGCAGAGCCTGGGACTGAGTGGAGGAGTAGGGGGGTCAATGAAAAATTTTAAATCAAAATGGGGGTCATCAGGTTGCTAAAGTTTGAGAACCGCTGATGTAATGCATTCATTATCTTACAAAGCAGTATTTTGGTTAGAAGGCTGGCCTTGTGGTTAAAGAAATGAAGTGGAATGTAAGAGATGTGGGTTTGATTCTTAGCTCTAACGCCAATTTTTGTGAAGGAGATTGCGCATTTCCTAACTAATTGCAAATTTATAGTGGAGCCTTAATCTTGCAAGAACAAAGTTTATTGCATTTAATATCCCAGATTTTAGTTTGTAAAGAAATGAGGAGGTGGGTGAAAAAAGCAGAAAATATAAAGAAAAACAGGGAAATTAAAAGAAAAAAACAGCTGACAGGCAGTGGCTAGCGGTAGATTTAGTCACTGCAAAGTGAACAATTTTATACCTAAAAGACTTCATAAGAATTAAAGAAAATGTCACTCTTAAACAAGCAAATACATCTCTATAATATATGCATCTCTAAGTGTGCTGTATCATTATCTCAAAGGTTTGACCAGCTGATTTAATCAAAAACTGTCTCTTAGTTCACATGCATGCTTACTGAATTCCAAATTAATTTATGCATGTTGGATGAAATTCACCTCAGTGCAGGGGCAAGAACAAAGTCTAGGCCTCACTTACATTATATTTTGAGGGCATAAGTGGGGCCTGGTGCTGTTGTTCTGTACAGGGTGAATTACCCTGCAGTGCATGTATGGATTCAGAGCATATGGTAAGTATGCAACTAAAACCGAAGATCTAAATCCTGTGAGATCCTGAGCCCCACCTGTCACATGATAAATTCCAGTGATTTTTGTTGGGATTGGGCCCAATAGTACCAGGTTAAATAATGCTGAAAATATTTAGCAGCAGTTAATTCAGAGCAGCTCTGCCCTCAAAATAAGCTTTTTCTCTTTCAGTTCTATTTATGAATGGCTGAGTTTTTATGTTTAGATCCTCCAAATGTTGACAAAGCTCTTCTGGAAAAGCTGATGAAGGAGCCTGTGATAGTCAAGGCAGGGCAGAATGCCATGGTTAAAATCCCATTCGAGGGCCGGAAGCCAGTCAGAGCAACGTGGTTAAGGGACGGGGATGAGCTCCTGAATGATGCCAGGATCCATATTGACAAGGCAGACAGCTTCACGCGGCTTTCCATCTCCAGCACCAACAGGAAGGACTGTGGGGATTACAAAGTGAAGCTGAAGAATGAGAGTGGAACCCTGGAGGCCAGCCTAAAGCTGGAGGTGATAGGTGAGAGTCTCATGATATCAGTCCACCACCTTGGGCATAGAGGGAAGTCCTTGTAAGTTGTTTTTGGTATCTCTCTTCCTGATTCTCCAGAGATAACTAGTTTAGAGTCATGGCACACACAGAAGGAGCTCTTCATTGGTGTTTTTACAGAACACTGCTTGTAAGAATATCTGAGTGCTGGCTGGGCTCACTCTTTTCCTTCTCATCCACAATAAACCAAAAGGAGACAAGGTGCTGAGCAACTCCCAGAAGTGTTGAATGCCTGCAGCTCCCATGGATTTTAATGAGACTTGAGCCACTTGGCACCTTCAGGAGCTGCTCAGTAACTTCCAGGCTCAAATGCAAAAGGATCCACATGGTTGTAAATCTACCAGACCTATCCTTGCTCCTTTATTGGCTCACCCCAGCCTGTATCCTGATTTACCTATGTGGGGTCTGAAACCTGAAAACCATGCATTGCAGATTTGCACTGGGTTAGCTTCAACTGGAATTCTCTGCAGCGGTGAAAAAGGGGCAGGATTTGTTCCCAACCGAGCAACAGGTTGATGAGACCAGAAGTGTGGTCTGCTGGGGAAGGACCATGCTACATCACTTGACTTAGCTTTGTCATTCCTAGTAATTAACAGAAGATTAAAGACTTCCAGATGGAGTAGCCAAATAAAGATAATCTCCCTCATTTTCTAAATTAAACAGTTTACTTATGCATCCATCTTTTTGCACTGAAACACAGCCCCTTGAGAGCTGCAGAAATTTAAATATAAAAGTCAAATGAAGAACAAACATTTCTCCAAGAAGAAAAGTACTAATTAAAGATGCAAACTAGCCCAAATGCACCTATTAAAGTCCAAATAATTACACAAGGGTAATAAATCACTAAGATAAATAATCAGTTTCTCTCATATTCCTTCCTCTGTCCTTCTCCTCTGGTTTTGTGATCCTGGTTTGTAGTGATCACTTGGCTCATTATAGAGTAAATTATTCTGCAAAAGCCATTTCCTTCTGAGCTGATGGAGCTCAATATCTGACTTGTACAACCTGCTCTATTGATCACAAAAGCAATTTAATGTTAAAAGTTGTCAGGGGAATCTTGCCATTCTATTCACAATAATAATAGGCCCAAGTTAACTTCCCAGCTGTAATATGGTGCTATATGGTATATCTGTGTAAGATGGAGGTGCACAGAAAGTAGAATAGATTCCCAAACAAAGATGGAGAAACCCAAAATTCAGAATCGGGTTAGTTTAGATTTAGATCCCATTTAATCTATACCACCTACATTTAGGGTGGAGGAGAGGATTGTTGACTACCTGGTTCTGGGTTTCATCCATTTGTATTTGATTAAAAAATGGGACTCAACAAGGGGGTGTTTGGCTTTGGTTTGGAAGAGTCTCCGTTGGATTTTGTTTTTTTGCAAACCAAAAGTGGAAGTAAATCGGCTCCAGGTCTCATCTTACCTGAGCACCCCAGGTTTGGGGTGAGGTTGGTAAATCGTTCCAGTTTGGAACCATCTGTACTCCTAAAGGAGATGGGAAGTCAATGAGAGTTTCACCCAGGTCTGACTTTGATGCAGTATTCATGGGAATGATCAACTATAGGAGGCGTGGCCAAACCACAGCTCATGAGCCACATGTGGCTCTTTAAAAGTTAACGTGTGCCTCGTGGTGCCCCCCATATCCTCCCTTTCTCGGTCTACCGGACTGAGTGCAGGGGGAGAGCTTGGGGTGGTGGGACTAGCGGCTTCTGCCCTGAGGGAAGGGGGGTCTCGGGGCTTTAGGCCTACGGGGATGCATTGAGGCAAAAGCCCTGTGCATGCCCCAGCAGGCGCCACTCTCCGGGGCAGGTTGTGTGTGTCTTGTGGCTCTAGAATTTCTGAAGATTATCATATGCAGCTCGGAGGGTCAGTAAGTTTGACCATCCTGGAACTATAAATTGGATGAGGCAAGTGTTTTCCTCTTGCCACACTCTCCTAGATCAGTAGATGAATGGATGTTTACTCAAGTAACCTTGCTGGCGTTAATTCTGCTGCTCTACCCTGTAAGTACTATACATACTGAGACTGAGTTGCCTAGTTTGAGTAGCGAGAGATAGTGACCCCTCTGATATCAAGAACAGATGTGGGACCTTTTACTCCCTGTTTTTCTCCTCCTTTCAGACAAGCCACAGAAACCCATCGGACCCATAGAGGTGGTGGATAGTTCCACAACTGGAATAACCATTCGATGGAAGCCCCCAAAGGATGATGGGGGCAGACCAGTGCAGAACTACATCATAGAGAGGCAGCAGGTGGGCAGAAAAACCTGGGTAACGTTGGGAGAAACCAGCAGGGACAACAGCACTTTCACCACCAACAAAGTGGGGCAAGACAAAAGCTATCGCTTCAGGGTGCGAGCAGTGAACGCTGAGGGAAAGAGCAAGGCACTGGAATCAGATGAGGTGATGGCTGCAACCAAAGGTAAGAGGAAGAACTTTGTGTAAACACATCTTATAGCCATGTGAGACTTCTATTATGAAAGCCGAAATCAAGTGAAACTCACATTTTGGGTTTTGTTACAAATCTGTACTTTTGTCCAGTTTGAACAGAAGGTTTGCAAGCCTGGCTCAACTGTCAAGTGACTGTGAACATGATGTCATATGAATCTGGGGCCAATTTAAGGTTTCAGATGGAGACCATAAGTTTCTTGCAAATTTTGGTGATTCTGAGTGAGATCTGCTTTGAGGTTTTTGGGTACAATCCAACCTAAACCTTGAAGCGACATCCACAGTGGAAACCATGCATGGACTGAATCCAAAGAAAGGGTTCCCACATGTCACTGCAAAGAGAACCTGCTAAGCTTTTATCTTAATTTACTCCATAGGTAAATGAGTCTCCCAAAGGGACATTCATTGGTTGTGTCTTTATTCAGTAGTATCACTTAGAATCATAGAATATCAGGGTTGGAAGGGACCTCAGGAGGTCATCTAGTCCAACCCCCTGCTCAAAGCAGGACCAATCCCCAATTTTTGCCCCAGATCCCTAAATGACTCCCTCAAGTATTGAACTCACAACCCTGGGTTTAGCAGGCCAATGCTCAAACCACTGAGCTATCCCTCCCCCGCCATTTCCTTAAGTACAGAACAGTCATTCTACTCTATAACGTCGCTGGTGGACCCAAATACTAGAGAGAGCTTTTAGCACAAACATGGAAGTACAAGTAGGGAAAACATTTAATTCATTTTGCCTGCCTTCCTCACATCCACCCGTGCTGCCCTCTCTCTGTCCTTCCTTTTTATTCACCCCTTTAATCACATTTTGTGCCAAGATACTTTTAAAACAATTTTGTTGTATTAATGGCTGGTTGTTTTGCCGTCTGTCATGGGGTGGTCCCCTGAGAGTCTTTTCTAGCCATAGCAGCTGATCCCCATATCTCCCAATATTCTTAACCACCACTGTGGGCACAGCCTGCAATGTTATTTATACAGTGTACAGTCAGTAGTCAGCTTCCCCCACTTGCTTCTGGGGAAAAGACAGGGTATTAGTAGCACTCAGTCCTGCTTTTCTTCAGGCTCTCTACTCTTCTCCTTAGCACTTCCTTCCTGTCTGCTTATACAGGGCCAGCTGCTGGGGTTACTTCCACCCAATTAGCCCTTCAGTTGTATCTCTACTCAAGAAATTGGCACCGGCCTGTCTTTCAGTCAGGTCCCAATTAATGTACTGATGGGGATTGGAGTGACAGGGTGTTGAGTCAGCTCCTGACTCAGCACACACCTTGTTACGCCCTCCAATAATGGGTGGAGCGGAGGGAAGTAGGAGCCAATCAAGACTCCTGTTTCCACCCTCAGGAACAATAATATCACAGTGGCCTTCCCTCCCCGTAAGATTGGGCACATGCCTCCCTTTGGAGACTGTCAATGTCATTCTAAGCACTGGCAAGAGGGGCTCATTCATGAAAGACACATAATATCTTGACCCTTAGGAGTCTGGACATGCTCCCCCTCCAGGCTCCCAGCATGTAGCTGTCCTGGAGAGTAGAAGACTGAGTCATAGATCTCCCTTCTACCTTCAAAAGGTGTCTCATCTGAACACACATTTGGGGAGTCCTGGAAGAAACAACCCTTGAGAACCCATTATTGTCATGTGATGGAAAAGAAATACCTGCTAATAACAAAGGGCTAATCTTTTCCTAGCTTTCCCTGGACCCCCTGCTCCTCCTCAGATTGTCAGTGCCAACAAAGAGTCCATAACACTCTCCTGGGCAGCACCTCCCAAAACAGGCAATTCCAGAATCCTGGGGTATATCGTTGAGAAACGCAAGAAAGGCAGCAACATCTGGATACCTATCTCTGACCTGCCAATAACAGGTAAGCAGCTGAAAGCTTGGAACAGGCTGAAAGACTCTAAGAAGGCAAGAAGACTAGATGGCTCAAGGCTTAATGAGATGCTGACTCTTTCGTTTCTAGGTCACTGCTTCAAATATGATTTAGATAGGTAGTGACCAAAAGTTTTTACTATCTGATGGATGTTGGGTGACTTCTGTGTGGTGACACAAATCAGTGATCTCAGTCCAGGTCCGAGTTGATAGTACAAAAATCACAGTTGGCACCATTGTTGGGTATCTCAGCAGAATGCCCAAATATTGAATAAACCACTGAGGTGGGACTCTCTTCTTACCTCCAGAGGTGGTTCCTTTCCAGGTTGTGAATAAAAATCTGCTGCAGAAGAATGGAGAAATTTGCATTGTTGCTGCCTGGCTATGCCATTCTGTGCATAAACTGAGGGCCAGCAATCTGGCACCTTGCACTTCAGTTGTGGAAGTGCTTTCTTAGCTTATGGAGTTGGGACCTGGGCAAACGGGGGGACATTCCAGGGACAAGGAAGGAAAGGAGATGGAACTGATATCTCTGAAGGCTTCAAAATCATGTTCACCTATAGATGGCAATGATGTTTTCAGATCCACACAAGTTCTTAATATCTCCTGTATTAGAAGGGCTGCCATTGCAAGGAAAGCATTATTTACTCTTTCTCTTACTTCCTCAGTATCTCAAATGGCATTTAATTTGAAAGGGAGGAGGGAGTACAATGGGAGAGACTTGTGCTAATGGTGGGGAAGGACAGGAGAAAAAGGGACAGCATTTCGGTACTCCATATGTGTTCCTCTAGGCAGGAGAGTGGTATACTGTGCAATTCCATGTGGTATAATTAATGTACAGAACTATTGTCCCAATATATCCTACTGAGGGGACTGCAGATCTGAGCCTGAGCTCACTGAGGAACCTTATCTTTTCCTTCCACAGACAGGAAGTGGATGGTGACAGATCTGAAGGAGGGACTGCAGTATGAATTCCGCGTGGCTGCTATCAATGCCGCAGGGACAGGCGAGGCCAGTGCGCCGTCCGATCCTGTCTTTGCTCGAGATCCCATGAGTAAGTGGGTTGTCCACTTGTCCCATTGGGTGTGGGATGCAGAGAGAGGGATGAATCTGGGGAAGTATGTGAATCCAGGAAGCAAAGTGTATTAAGTATTTTAAAATGTCTGTGTGGGAGAATAAAATACTTGAATAATATTAAAAAATTAGGAATTCACTGCAGGGAGTGGGGTGGTATTCTCAATATGCTGGGGAGGGTGATGTGGTGCTGGCCCCACAACGTGCTGCAGGGGTTGTGGGTGAGTTTCCCCTGTGCTGCATGGAACATAGAGTGGGCTTCCCAGCATGTTGCAGAGGGGCTGGGAGCAGGATTCCCAGTACAATTCAGAGGGATGGGGACAAACTCCCAGTATGCTACAGGGAGCCTGACTGAATGGATACCCAGTGCAAGCGTGTTGGGGATGGATTATCCAGTGCACTGAATGAGGGGTGGGGGCAGGAATCCTAGGACAACGAAGTCTAAATAAACTTTCCCTTCCCAGAGCCTCCTGGTAGAGTGAGGGACCTTAAGGTGACCAATACTGACTACACCAGCATCACTCTGGCATGGATGAAACCCGATTCAATGGAAGGGGGGCCTGCCAAGGGCTACAAGGTGGAGAAGAAATCCTCTGACAGCCTCAAGTGGACCCATTGTAACACTGTCCCCATAGGGTTGACAACCTGTACAGTTAAAGGTCTGCAAGCCAGAGAGATGTACTTCCTCCGCGTGAGGGCCGTCAATGAGGGAGGCCTAGGGGAAGCCATAGCACTGGACACTTGCATCCAAGCCATGCCTCCCATTGGTGAGTCAAATGTGCTGCCCCTGAAAAGATATCATAGTCACACAGGTACAAATCATGGGCTCTCCATCCAAAGGTAGCTGTCACTGTTGGAGATTCAGATTGAACCTTGAGCTGGAACAACTCAATCTGTGGATTGTGGGGCACAGGAGCCTGTTATAGATGATTATCTCAGGCTGTAGATGGAGGACACCGATAATTTAGCTCCTATATTCCTTATTGAATCAGGAAAATTGAGGGTTCAGTTTGAGATGACCACAACTCACATTGGAGGCTCACTGTGATTCCAGCATCTCAAATGTTCTCTCTTTTCAGATACGTAGGATATGTCTACAGGAGAAATTCTACAGCAGCACAGATGCAGAACTACTGCTGCACCACCGTAGTGTAGACCAGTGGTTCTCAAACTAGGGCCCCGCTTGTTCAGGGAAAGACCCTGGCGGGCCGGGCCGGTTTTTTTACCTGCTGCTTCCGCAGGTTCGGCTGATCGCGGCTCCCACTGGCCGCAGTTCGCTGCTGCAGGCCAATGGGGGCTGCAGGAAGGGCGGCTAGCACATCCCTCGGCCCGCGCCGCTTCCCGCAGCCCCCATTGGCCTGGAGTGGCGAACCGCAGCCACTGCGAGCCGTGATCGGCCGAACCTGCGGACGCAGCAGGTAAACAAACCGGCCCAGCCCACCAGGGGCTTTCCCTGAACAAGCGGGGCCCTAGTTTGAGAACCACTGGTGTAGACTACAGTGACGGAAGGGGTTCTTCCATTGCTGTAGTAAACCAATCTCTCCGAGAGGTGGACAAAAGAATTCTCCCATTGACCTAGCAGTGTCTACACCGGAGCTTAGGCTGGCTTAATTACATTGCACAGGGCGTGACATTTTTCACCTTGTGTTCAGCATTGGTCAAACGTATTACGGAGGTTTTTCACCTTTATCTGAGGCATCAACCATTGCCACTGCCAAAGCAGGGATATCAAATCAGATGGACCAGTGACTTGATCTCATATGCCAGATCCCATGTTCATTCCAGTTTTTAGCCTGATGCTGGGAAACTTTCAATAAAAGGGTCACATTTTTTGTAACATCCTTGCCAGTCAGCCAGATATAGGTTGCACTTTCAGTTGTCTGTTATTAAGAGGCTGGATCTGCCATACACTCAGAGCCTTTAAAAGAAAAAAACCCAAACAAATGGAGAAGTTTTTATATATATTTTTAATGAGGGAGCGTGATCCGATCCAGGACACTGAGCTGGGAGCCAGAAGACATGGGCTTTTTTTCCATCTGTGCCATTGACCTGCTGTAAATCATTTCAGTTCTTTGTGTCTCTCTTTCCCCTCCCATCCTTTGTCTGACTTGTCTCTACAGCAAGCTCTTAGAGGCAGGGTCTATGTGTTTGTGCAGCACCTAGCACAATGAAGCCTCGGTCTCAGTTGTACCCGTACAGTATAAAATAATGGCCCAGATAAAAAGGGAGGTGAGGGGTTTCACTCTTGACATAATGGACTAAAGCTCTTCAAAATGATTCTGTGACTCAGCCTAATATCCTAATGCATTGTTGTTGGTTAGGGTGTGGCCCCTGTGCTACACACTAGGAGATAGGGGAAAAGTGGGTCTATACTTGAGTAGCTATTTCTCTCCCTCCTGCTGCAGAGACAGCAATGGGGTTTCACGCTCAGGAGGATAGCAAACAATATAAACAGTGAATTTCACTCTTTTTCTGTTCATAAATTATCGACAAACTGGCTTTGATTTTGTATGAACTTGTTTGCTGTTTGAAATTATTCAACAGTGGTTTCTGTGAACATGCTTCAGCCCACGGGTCACTCAGAACTTGGTTGCTGTGGCTGTCGCTTTGACTATTCACTGTTTCTAATGCACTATTTGCACTGTGTTCTAGGATATCCAGGTTGCATGATATCATTTTAGCTGACTGGATGACTCCCAAGCCCACAAAGAGCTGTCCAGATGAATTCTCCTGAAGTCAATGCTCTTGTGAACAGACATAGGAACGAGTGTTCACACCACTTTCCTTTTCCACAAGCATTACTGTGAAGAAAAGTTCATTTGCATGATTGTGAAAAGCGAGTCAGAGGGGTCACAGATGCCGTTGAGGAGATTTCATGGTTTCTATTCAAACATTTGTGAATACCTTTTTTGCAGTATTTCCCTCTTAGAATATCATAGAATATCAGGATTCGAAGGTACCTCAGGAGGTTATCTAGTCCAACCCCCTGCTCAAAGCAGGACTAATCCCCAACTAAATCATCCCAGCCAGGGCTTTGTCAAGCCTGACCTTAAAAACTTCTAAGGAAGGAGATTCCACCACCTCCCTAGGTAACACATTCCAGTGTTTCACCACCTTCCTAGTGAAAATTTTTTTCCTAATATCCAACCTAAACCACCCCCACTGCAACCTGAGACCATTACTCCTCGTTCTGTCATCAGCTACCACTGAGAACAGTCTAGATCCATCCTCTTTGGAACCCCCTTTCAGGTAGTTGAAAGCAGCTATCAAATCCCCCCTCACTCTTCTCTTTCGCAGACTAAACAATCCCCGTTCCCTCAGCCTCTCCTAATAAGTCATGTGTTCCAGTCCCCTAATCATTTTTGTTGCCCTCTGCTGGACATTTTCCAATTTTTCCACATCCTTCTTGTAGTGTGGGGCCCAAAACTGGACACAGTACTCCAGATGAGGCCTCACCAATGTCGAATAGAGGGGAACGATCACGTCTCTCAATCTGCTGGCAATGCCCGTACTTATACATCCCAAAATGCCATTGGTCTTCTTGGCAACAAGGGCACACTGTTGACTCATATTCAGCTTCTCGTCCACTGTAACCCCTAGGTCCTCTTCTGCAGAACTGCTGCCGAGCCATTCGGTCCCTAGTCTGTAGCAGTGTATGAGATTCTTCCGTCCTAAGTGCAGGACTCTGCACTTGTCCTTGTTGAACCTCATCAGATTTCTTTTGGCCCAATCCTCCAATTTGTCTATGGCCCTCTGTATCCTATCCCTATCCTCCAGCGTATCTACCTCTTCTCCCAGTTTAGTGTTGTCTGCAAACTTGCTGAGGGTGCAATCCACACCATCCTCCAGATCATTCATGAAGATATTGAACAAAACCGGCCCGAGGACCGACGCTTGGGGCACTTCACTTGATCCCGGCTGCCAACTGGACATGGAGCCATTGATCGTTATCTGTTGAGCCCAACAATCTAGCCAACTTTCTACCCACCTTATAGTGCATTCATCCAGCCCATACTTCTTTAACTTGCTGACAATATCCTAATCTTAAGTCATCAACACTCTGTAAATACAGAAAGATGATGCTCAGCGAGTGCTCTGGCACTTCTCACTCAGTGAAAAAGTTCCATTGACTTAATACTGCCAGAGATATGTCAGGCAGCCGGCCAGAGGAGAGAACTTTAGCACACTGGACATGCTATTTTGAGTGTATGTGAGTTAAAATCTGTCAGCGACCTTGTAACAAGATGCAGCTTTTAATTGTGTTCACTGTTTTTTGCATTCCAGTTAGTCCCAAGTTCCTAAGAGATGACACTATGAAAAACTTTATGATTATAAAAGCGGGAAGTTGCATCCGAGTGCACACACCCTTTGAAGTAAGCATTGAAGCATGTTTGTAAGGAGTCCTCCATATGATTCCATGTCGTAAAAATAACTACAATAACTGAGGTTCTGTTCTTCATTCTGCTGCAGAATTTTCACATGACCTTGGGCAAGTCATCTAATTGGTTTGCACCTCGTATACATTCCCCATGTGTACAATCAGGATAGTAATGGTTCCCTTCATGGGGGAGGGGAGTTGTGAAGTTCAGATAATTCATTAAGGTGTGTAAAGTAAAGCACTTTAAACTCTTGATGATGGAAGGCACCAAAGAAGTGTAAAATATTAGCACCAACTTCTCAGATTTTGATGTGTCAACTAATCACTCCCCACATCCATCCCTTGCTTTCCTTGTGAGGACTGAAGGTAGGAGAATTGACAATGTCCTGCTGAGCATGTTCATCAAACTAAACAGCAAGAGCAGTGGTGCACCTTGATTGTATCATGTGAAAGGCACAGGTCTGATTCAAAGATCTAGCCTCTTACTCTTGCAGGTTGGCAAAGGCTGGGAGCATTATGGGTGAGATCTGGTGTTTGGTCCCGACTGAAGAGAAGGGGAGAAAACCTTCTGGCTGATCTCAAGGTGGCACTGATAAGCAATACAGGGAGCCACGTCCAGCTCCCCTAGGCTGAAAGAAAGTCACTGCAATGTGACATCAGGAGGGAGGGGGACCGGAAGGAAAAATGGAACAATCATCCAGACAGAAGTCTTCTTCCCTCCAAAAAGCAGCAGATGCTTTTAATAGGGCTACTCTTGCCTATCTGTCAACTAGAACTTCTGAGCTAATAAATATTTTCTGACTTAGTTATACTGAAACAGCTTAGGGCAACACATCCTTTGTTGGCCATGGTTCTGGGGCAAAGAAACAAGTTAGAGCTAAAAGAAAAGGAGTACTTGTGGCACCTTAGAGACTAACCAATTTATTTGAGCATGAGCTTTCGTGAGCTACAGCTCACTTCATCGGATGTTAGAGCTAAGGAAACACTTGAGGACAAAGCAAGGAAGCTATAGGTACACAGGATATAAATACAAAAGAAAAGCAGATTGACTTATAACTGGTGTTTATCTTTAATAGGCATCCCCAACTCCAGAGGTGATTTGGCTAAAGGATGGGCTTCCTCTACCCAGCAGGGCCATAGTGAGCACCAGAGATGGCCTCAGCCAACTCTTGATTCCATCAGCTGAGTTTTCTGACAGTGGGCTCTACACCATCATACTCCAAAACGAGTGGGGAAAAAAAGAATCCTTCAGCTTCCAAGTCCAAGTCGCAGGTAACATGCATAGCAGGTTTGGTGGAGAATAAAATCCTAAGGGAGAGGTTCCAGCCCATGACTGAGTAGAGGACTGTGAGTTTTGATGGGGTTAAGCACTGTGGACAAGGAAAGGGCGAGATAATACGGTCTTTCATGAGATGACAATCCAAAAACCAGGTGGTTTAGTCTAGGGCAGGGCTACAGAATACTGGCATCCATTGATTAAATTACAATCCAAGACCCAGCCAGGTACCACCAACAGAGACACAGCCATATTCTGTGAGAGGACTAGGATAGTACAAGCTATCAGAGGGCCAACTTATACAGTCCATAATACAGCCAGGTGTCTCAGTCCATGACAGGGCTCTGTGAATGTCAGTTAGCAAATAGAACAAAGTACCTGTGTCCAACCATAAGAACTCTATAGCCTTGTCAACTCCTTCACTTCCAGTTTATAAAAACACAGCTGTATCAGCTATCTAATAGAAGGGAAAGAGAGGTGTCTCTAATACCAGTCCAGTAATGCTGAATTTCCCTAATCCAGATGGGAGGACCTGTATATCTGGAGCAAAGGGATGAGAGTTCATTTCCCACTAATGACCATCAAGTTTAGCTGGCCACAATGCTCAAAATATCTGATCTCCATGAAGTTTATGGGGTTGCAGAGTTGTTATAACATCTTAAACTTACCACTTTCTCTACTCCCTCCATACTATTTGTCTTCACTTTGCAGCTATCCCACAGTCCCCTGGCCCTATTCTTCTGCAAGAGAAAGTCCTTAATACAGTGACAGTGATCTGGGAGCCCTCGCCGACAGAGAAGTGGGAAAGTAACCTGTACTATGTGGTCATGAAACGTGACTCCAACAAAGGCTCATGGCAAGTGGTGGCTGACCTGATCTACAACAACAAGTTTACCATCACCAAACTTATCCCTGGCCGCGGGTATTATTTTAGGGTTGTGGCCAAAAATTATATGGGAACCAGTGATCCATCTGAAACTGTGCAGCCCTGGATCATGCAAAAGGAAAAGGGTAAAAAGGCTTTTTAAAAAAAATCTATCAGTGCACCTGTGTTGTTGGGTCTCAGTCAAACTATCCCATTTATAAATCTTGGTCAGTGTGTCCCAGTCCCCATATGTATGCTGTCTGCCCAGATGAGAGCCCATTGACATATCCCCAAGAAATACTGTTGGGCAAGGAAAGATGTCCCCTGCTGGACATGAATGTTTACAGATCAGTGGGAACAGTGAAGCTGGGCTTCTCCATTCCCACCAATATACCGGCTCATATTACTTATATGGGTAAGAGCTTCCAAGAGAATTAATTCCTAGCAAACTCTGAAATTAGGTGAGTTCTACAGAAGCCAAGGGCTATGACCTGAATGGTGAGGACTTGGTAATTTTAAGAAGGAGCCACAGAATCCAATCTGCAGGAGTTGAGGTCCCAACCCCATTTGGGAAGGACCAGGTGACCTGCAGGAGCTAGACTGGTACTGTGTAATCCTCATGACCTGTAGAAGGAGCCATGGCCTTGTCCATATGCCAAAGACCTAGTGATCCCCTCTAGATTCCTGACTGGGACTTCGGAAAACTTAAGAGGAAACTACCTGTAGAGAATACAGCTCAGGCTTTATACTGTGCCTATTGCATTCTAGACGAGGACTTTTGGGTACTGCATGCAGCACAGACTGGATCAACAAAGCTTTTAGTTCTGTCCCCTTTTATTGAGTCTCAATGCTTGGATTAAAGGAACTCCCAGTAACAGTAACTGGGGTCATAATTCGCAGAGAGAGCCAGGGCCTTACACATATGGCCACTGCATGGCAACTCACAGAAGGAGCCATGAACGCTCTCCTGACCTGGGGAGCAATTTTGCAGGGTGGATGCCAAATGCAATTATTAAGTGTTATGGGTGGAGGATGCTTCTGCACCCAGCCTTTAAGTCCCCTGGAGTAGTCGCTGAGTGTGTATTTATGTCTCTTATAGATGAGTTTAAAGTCAGACTACCCAAATACAGGAGGGTGAATCAAAATATGCCTCCAAGATTCCTCCTCCAATTGAAGCCCCATGTAGTGACCACAGCATTTGATTGTCACATGAGCTGTGCAGTGAGTGGCTACCCAAAACCTAAGATCACCTGGTACAAGGATGGCAGGGATCTCTCAGAAGACCACACCTTCTTCAGTACAAATGACTTTGGTGTCTGCTGCCTGGTGATCCCAGGTGTCACGAAGAGAGATGAAGGAGAGTACAAGGTGGAAGCCACCAATGAATTGGGCCATGTGGTCAGCAAAGCCATGCTTATCATAAAAGGTAAAGTGATTTAACTGGGAATTGGTCCTGCTTCGAGCAGGGGGTTGGACTAGATGACCTTCTGGGGTCCCTTCCAACCCTTATATTCTATGATTCTATGATTCTATGATCTTGCTCAAGTCTCTTAGTCTCCCTGCCTCAGTCTGCATCTGTCAAATTGGAGATAATGCCTCACAGAGAGGTTGTGAGGATAAACACGTTACAGATTGGGAAGAACTCAGATACTGTGGCGATGGGGCCAAATAAGTGCTATAGAAAGGCAAATTTGGAATCTACTGAAGGATGGTCTGTATTCAGATGAGAGACTCCAAGAAAAAACAAGGTGCCACAAGGAGCAGAGTGGTGGGCTCAGCAGGATGCACACTCACTCTGTGCTGATCCCAATGCCCCAGTGCAGTGCTAGAGGGCCTGTGATGCTGGAGATGCAGCCATCAGATGAGAGAGAAAACCAAGGTCCTGACTGCTCATGGTTATTAGAGATCCCAGAGCACTTATTGGGTCTAGTGCGTGGGTGATGGTAGCAGGCTGTGATATGCCGGAGGTCAGACTAGATGATCTGGTGGTCCCTTCTGACCCTATGGATGGCTCCTGGCACATCATCTTCTGTGTACCACCCATGTGTGTGATGTAAGACAGCATTTCATTGCCACCAGGGCATCTTGCAAATGGCTACCATGGGGCGCTATTTGCCAGTTCAGTACAACTTTATATTGGGTAGTGTTTACCCAGAATGCTTTACAGAGTTCAATTATAAATCTACAAAGACCAAGAGTGACAGAGGGAAATAGAAATTAAGAAACAGAGGCAGAGGAGAGAGGCTTTCAGCTGAGACTGGAAAATAGATGGAGAGTCATAGATTTCAAGGCTAGAAATGGCCATCATGATTATCTAATCTGATCTCTTGCATAACACAGGTCATTACACAGTCACTGATGCCTGTATCGAGCCCATAACTTCTGCCTGGGCTAGAGCATATCTTTTTAGAAAGAGACATACAGTGTTGATCTAATGAGGTAGAATCACAGAGAAGCTCTGCCAGATCACAGAATCATAGACTTTAAGGTCAGAAGGGACCATTATGATCATCTAGTCTGACTTCCTGCACAACACAGGCACGGAATCTCACCCACCAACTCCTGTAACAAACCTCTAACTTATGTCTGAGCTATGAAGTCCTCAAATCATGGTTTAAAGACTTAAAGGTACAGAGAATCCTCCAGCAAGTGACCCGTTCCCCACACTGCAGAGGAAGGCGAAAAACCCCCAGGGCCTCTGCCAATCAGCCTTGGGGGAAAATTCCTTCCCGACCCCAAATATGGCGATCAGCTAAACACTGAGCATGTGGGCAAGACTCACCAGCCAGACACCCAGGAAAGAATTCTCTGTAGTAACTCAGATCCCACCCCATCTAACATCCCATCACAGGCCATTGGGCATATCTACTGCTAGTAGTTGAAGATAAATTAATTGCCAAAATGAGGCTATCCCATCATATCATCTCCTCCATAAACTTATCAAGCTTTGTCTTGAAGCCAGATATGTCTTTTGCCCCCACTGCTTCCCTTGGAAGGCTGTTCCAGAACTTCACTCCTCTGATGGTTAGAAACCTTCATCTAATTTCAAGTCTAAATTTCCTGATGGCCAGTTTATATCCATTTGTTCTTGTGTCCACATTGGTACTGAGCTTAAATAATTCTTTTCCCTCCTCGGTATTTATCCCTCTTATATATTTCTAGAGAGCAATCATATCTCCTCTCGGCCTTCTTTTAGTTAGGCTAAACGAGCCAAGCTCATTGAGTCTCCTTTCATAAGACAGGTTTTCCATTCCTCGGATCATCCTAGTAGCCCTTCTCTGTACCTGTTCCAGTTTGAATTCATCCTTCTTAAACATGGGAGACCAGAACTGCACACAATATTCCAGATGAGGTCTCATGAGTGCCTTGCATAATGGTACTAACACCTCCTTGTCTCTACTGGAAATACCTCGCCTGATGCATCCCAAGCCCGCATTAGCTTTTTTCACGGCCATATCACATTGGCGGCTCATAGTCATGCTGTGATAAACCAATACTCCAAGGTCCTTCTCCTCCTCTGTTACTTCCAAGTAATGCATCCCCAGTTTATAACAGAAATTCTTATTAATCCCTAAATGCATGACCTTGCACTTTTCATTGTTAAATTTCATCCTATTACTATTACTCCAGTTTACATGGTCATCCAGATCTTCCTGTATGATATCCCGGTCCTTCTCTGCATTGGCAATACCTCCCAGCTTTGTGTCATCTGCAAACTTTATTAGCACATTCCCACTTTTTGTGCCAAGGTCAGTAATAAAAAGATTAAATAAGATTGGTCCCAAAACCGATCCCTGAGGAACTCCACTAGTAACCTCCTTCCAGCGTGACAGTTCACCTTTCATTGTGACCCGCTGTAGTCTCCCCTTTAACCAGTTCCTTATCCACCTTTCAATTTTCATATTGACCCCCATCTTTTCCAATTTATCTAATAATTTTCCATGTGGAACTGTATCAAATGCCTTACTGAAATCGAGGTAAATTAGATCCACTGTGTTCCCTTTGTCTAAAAAATCTGTTACCTTCTCAAAGAAGGAGATCAGGTTGGTTTGACGTGATCTACCTTTTGTAAAGCCATGTTGTATTTTGTCCCAATTACCATTGACGTCAATGTCCTTAACTACTTTCTCCTTCAAAAATTTTTCCAAGACCTTGCATACTACAGATGTCAAACTAACAGGCCTGTAGTTACCCGGATCGCTTTTGTTACCTTTCTTAAAAATAGGAACTATGTGAGCAATTCTCCAGTCATACGGTACAACCCCTGAGTTTACAGATTCATTAAAAATTCTTGCTAATGGGCTTGCAATTTCATGTGCCAGTTCCTTTAATATTCTTGGATGAAGATTATCTGGGCCCCCCGATTTAGTCCCATTAAACTGTTGGAGTTTGGCTTCTACCTCCATATCCTCATTCCCATTTGTCGTCCTACCATTATCCCTAAGCTCCTCATTAGCCACGTTAAAGACTGAGGCAAAGTATTTGTTTAGATATTGGGCTGTGCCTAGATTATCTTTAACCTCCACTCCATCCTCAGTGTTAAGCGGTCCCACTTCTTTCTTTTTTTCTTATTTATATGGCTATAGAATCTTTTACTATTGCTTTTAATTCCCTTTGCAAGGTCCAACTCTACATGGCTTTTGGCCTTTCTCACTTTATCCCTACATGTTCTGACCTCCGTAAGGTAGCTAATCCCTCCCATCTTCCACTTCTTGTAGGCTTTCTGCTTTTTCTTAATCACCTCTCTGAGATGCTTGCTCATCCAGCTTGGTCTACAACTCCTGCCTATGATTTTTTCCCCCTTTTCTTGGGATGCAGGCTTCTGATAGTTTCTGCAACTTTGACTTGAAGTAATTCCAGGCCTCCTCCACCTTTAGATCCACAAGTTTTTCAGTCCAATCCACTTCCCTAACTAATTTCCTTAATTTTTTAAGGTTAGCCTTTTTGAAATCAAAAACCCCAGTCACATCTATTTTTGTTTATCCTTCCATTTAGTTTGAACTGAATTAGCTCATGATCGCTTGAACCAAGGTTGTCCCCTATAATCATTTCTTCTATGAGGTCCTCACTGCTCACCAAAACCAAATCTAAAATGGCATCCCCTCTTCTCAGTTCAGCAACTATTTGGTGAAGGAATCCATCAGCTATCATATCCAGGAAAATCTGAGCCCTATTATTGTTACTAGCACTTGTCCTCCAGTCTATATCTGGGAAGTTAAAGGTTTCAGAGTAGCAGCCGTGTTAGTCTGTATTCGTGACCACGAAAGCTTATGCTCAAATAAATTTGTTAGTCTCTAAGGTGCCACAAGTACTCCTCCTTTTCTTTTTGGGAAGTTAACGTCTCCCATGATCATACAATTCCCATTAGTACTTACTTCTTTAAAAACATTAAAGAGGTCTCTATCCATATCCACATCGGATCCTGGCAGTCTATAGCACACCCCAAGCACTATCCCAGGGGAGGCTCTAATAGCTTTCTTCCCCAATGTGATTTTTATCCATTCCATCACTTCTTATTTCTTTACAGTCTACCTCATCATTGATATACAATGCTACTCCACCACCTTTGCCTTTATTTCTGTCTTTCCTAAACAGCACATACCCCTCAATACCTGTAGTCCAGTCATGACTACTATTCCACCATGTTTCTGTTATCCCTATAATATCCGGTTTCACTTCCTGCACCAGTAGCTCTAGTTCCTCCATTTTGTACCTAGGCTCCTCGCATTGGTGTACAAACATCTTAATTTTTGCTGTTTGGCTTCGCTCACATTCTTTAACCGATTGGGCACAGGCATTCTACCACCAATATTACCTATTAGATTGGTATGTACACTGCCCTTCCACCTTATGTCCATTCTCCTACCCATGGCTGTATCCTTTCTTACTTTGTTTTCTTCCCTCTCAAAGAGAAAAACTGGCATGGAGATTACCTGGACATCTCCCAACCTTCTCCCCTGAATTCCTAGTTTAAAGCTCTCTTGATCAGTTGTGCCATCCTCCATCCTAGAAGTCTGTTTCCCTCATTACTCAGGTGAAGTCATCCCGAGAGAACAGTCCTCTGTCCATGAATGCTTCCCAGTGGCCATACATCCCAAAGCCCTCTTTATAGCACCACTGCCTGAGTCATCTGTTGAGCATCATAATCTTGTCACACCTTTGTTGCCCTTCTCTAGGAACAGGCAGAATCCCACTGACGATCACCTGAGCCTCTATTTCTTTTAGCGTCTTCCCCAGCCTGGCACAATCTCCCTTGATACGTTGCAGTAAGAATCTAGCGGTATCATATGTTCCCACATGAAGGATAATCAATAGATTCTTTCCAGCTCCCATTAGGATCCTCTTCAGCCTCAAGTCCATATCCTGTATCTTAGCACCCAGCAGACAGCACACCCTTCTGTTCTCTGGATCAGCTCTTGTTACAGTCCTGTCTATTCTTC